AATCCTCCTTACTTGCTCATTCATTCACAAGCATTTCCTTAATACAGTCTCTAGGTCCTCTTAGGTCAAGCAGAATAGCCAGCACCCCCAAAGAGAAGTCAGGACACCAAAGAACAGAGCCCCACTCTGGGCGGTTGACAGCAGATCTCCCTGAGGAAGGGGTGATTAACACTGAGTCCAGAACAATAACAATCAACATTTATTAAGCACCTTCTGAGTACTAGACACTATGTCAGTATTTTATATGTTTCTTCCCACTAATCACACAACAATCCTGTGAGGTAATTGCTATTATTATCCTCATTTTATTGCTCAAGAAAACAGGTTCAGAGATGCTCAGTAATTTGCAGAGGTAGGAGGAGGGCACCCCATCTGCCTGCAGGCTCCTGCTTGAATAGCCAAGCAGAATGAGAGAAGAAAGTATGCTGCGGGCCTGGAAACCCCTGGATGTGGTATAGACAGAGGAGGAAAGGAGCACCAAGTGAGGTAGGATAAAGAATTCTGAGGGGGATACTAGCAGGGTCAGAGGTCAGAGATGCAAAGAGGGAACCCTGGGCAGTGTGGCAAGGTATGGCACAGAAGCTCAGGGAGGCTGGAGGAACAGTCCCTCCACACAGATTGAAACCCCAGAACATGGGCCAATTACCAGAAACAGGCCTTCGGCAGTGTGTAGGCTGAGTGGAAGAGATGTATACGGTAACCATACATAAGGGTATGCACGTACCCCAGGATACTGGCAGTGGGGCACAGGCACCCCTCCAACTTCTGGAGGCTGGATATAAGAAATAGAGACCTGAGAGTGCAGAGCACCTGACTTCTAAGCCCCGACCCCCAGGCTTCTGAGATCTAGTCCAGAAATAATGGAGCAGTAAGGGATCTCAGAGATCATTTGGCTCAAGCCACCTCACATGCAGAAGTGGCCTGGAGACAGATTGTACCTGCTGGTAACAGGGCACTGTGAACACTGAAATCAGCCATGCTGAGAATTCATACCACATGAATTGGCAATCACCACAAACAACCTTTTCCCTCCTGGTTATTAAAATTTTTGTTTGTTTTGAGACAGGGTCTCCTTATGTAGTTCAGGTTGGCCTTCAATTTACAGTGATCCTTCTATTTCAGCCTCTTGGGTGCTAGGATTACAGGTGTGCACCACCATGGATGGCTTTGGCTTTTTTTTTTTTTTTTTTTTTTTCCCAAACAGGTTCTCATCTTGTCCCTTGCAAACCTCAAACTTGCAACCCTCTTGCATCAGCCTCCTGAGTGCTGGAATTTATTATAGGTTGTACCATCCAATTGATTACTAAATATTTTAACAGGATATATTCTTTCTTGTTCCTACTTTACAAATGAGGAAACTAAGGGCCAAAGATTAGATGTGACTGGTTTAGAATCACATGATCAATTTTTTCTGTGTGTGTGGTACTGGGGATTTCATCTAGGACCTTCATGCTGAGCTAATACATAGCCTTTTTTTTTTTGTCTGAAAGAGGGTCTTGAGGACCTTAAACTTCCTATGTAGCCCAGGCTGGCCTTGAATTTGCAGTTATCCTCCTGCCTCACCTTCCCCAGTGCTGGGATTACAGGTATATAGCACATCTGGCTTTATTTTTATTTTGAGCTAAGGTCTCCTAAATGGTTCATCTGTTCAGGCTAGACTTGAATTTGTCATCCTTGTGTCTCAGCCTCCCAGAGGGCTGGGATTACAGGCACATTCCACCACACCCAGTCTTTTTGCCTTTTATTCATTCAGTGGTTCACTCAACAAGTCTGTATGTATTGCCTCCTTTGGGTTGGCTTTGGAGGGACACAGCTGTCATCCTGGGAGAGCTATCAGTCTGTTGTAGCATGCAGAATGTGGAAACCGGCTTTGAACATTCGGATGAATAGTAGCAAAGGGACAAATGCTGGACACCCCAGCAATACTGAGGGATCAGCGTTGGTCCCTTAGCAAAGCCAGGAAGGCTTCTTGACATTACAGTCAGATCTGAAGCATATGAGGGATGAAAAGGGTTAGACAAGATGAGGGAGGGTTTGAGGCAGAGGAAAAATCAAAAGCAAGTGTAGGTGTAGATGTAGGTGTAGGTGTGTGTGTGTGCATATATGTGCACGTGCACATGCAGAGGACCTGGGAGGAACACATGCATCATACGTCTGTGTGGAAGATTCATCTTTGTTTTTGAGACAGGGTCTCACTATACAGTTGGGCTGACCTTGAATGCATCATGTAGCCCAGGTTGGCTTCAAACTTGCAATGATCCTCCTGTCTCAGACTACAGGTATGTGTATGCCACCACATCCTGCTGTGTAAGATTCATTTTGCCAGGCTGAGGATTTAGCTTAGTACTCTAGGCACCAGCTGGCAAGCACAAGGTTGTGAGTTAGATCCCCGATACAAAAAAAAAAGATTCATTTTTCCAGCAGTGACTGTGGGGAGGGGCTTCTGTGCTTAGAAATCTTGGCTATTAGCCAGAAGTCATGCCAATGAGTTGGGCATGGTGGCACAGGTTTATAATCCAAGCACTCAGGAGGCTGAGGCAAGAGGATCACCTTGAGTTTGAGGTCAGCCTGAACTACATAGGAAGACCTCCAAAAGAAAAGAAAAGAAAGAAAAAATGGTCATGCCAATGAGTTAGCACCAGGACTACCTTCCTGATGTATATATGTTCCAGAGTAGGAATGCCAAGGAGCCTGTTGACAGTACACATATGTCACTCCTGCCGGCACTCCCCGTTTAGAAGAAAGGTCATATAAGAGAATAGGGACAAAGGTGGAAGGAGGAGAGAAATAAGGGTGTGGGAAGAGGATGTGTGGTAGAAAATAGAGGAAGACACCAAATATTTGGCAGTATGTGTGCATATGTGTATGTTTGTGTGCAGTAGAGGATGTTTGAGAGAGAACATGCACAGTTCACAAAGAACACTTACTGGGCATCCATTGTGTACTTGGTGCTGGGAATGCTAAAGTACAGGGACCCAGTCTATGTCCTCCTGGAGATTCCAATGTATGGGAGTAACAGAGGGACACCCAAAAGTGGTCAGGGGGATCTCTGGGAGAAAATGACACCTTCGTTGAGCTCTGCAAGGTGAACCAACCTTATTTCAATGAAGGGTGGAATGGAGAATGGGATGGAAGGAGTAGATAGCAGACAGGTGGGCCAGGGCCAGGCACAGAGGCCATGAGAAGAATGAGTCCAATAACAGTGGGGACTTAGTATGAAGTTTCAAGCAGGAGAGTTTTACAATCAGACTTTTTTGCAAATCATTTCTCTAGCCACTGTATGGAAAAAGATTTGAAAGGAGCAAAAGAGGCAAGAGTGGAGGCAAGCAGAACAGTGAGAAACTACTGAAGGTAGGAGGCGATGATGGCTGGGATTAGGGTAGAAGGTAGAAAGTTGACTGATTTGTTTGTGTTTTTTTGGATGGTGCTAGGGATTAGACCCAGGGTCTTGCACAAGCTAGGCAAATGCTCTACCACTGAGCTAAACCCATAGTACTTGGGAAATGTTTTGAGATTTGAGAGGGCTTGTTGATGACCAGCTCAGAGGAATTAGAGGGAAAGAAAGAGTCAGAGATGGCTCTCTGGTTTGAGCAACCAGGTGGATGGCGATGTCACTGAAGCTGAGGAAGCTGGAGGAGGAGCTCATTTGCACTGTTGGAGACACAGTCAGAACTTTGGCTTCCTGTTCCCAAGCTGGCACCTACTTCCTGATGGGGGCCACTAGGAGAAGGTAAAATTCAGGCAGAGGAACAAGAATGTGGGAAGGAATTAGGGCAGAAAGAAGGAAGATACTAACAGTAACACAACAGCATACACTACGATACCAGGCACTTTACTGTTTTACGTAGATCCAGTTAATTCTACTCAACAAGACCGTTCTTTCTAAATCAGCCAATTCAAGCCTTTCTATCTCTATACCCTGCCATGCTTTTCTTTTCCAATTATCACCATGGAATGAATTTTACCTAGTTGTTTTCATTTGCCTCTCCTCACTCACAGAGTATCGGCTCTGGAAGAGCAGGGACCTCGTACATCTTGTTTTCAGGTTTATGCCCAATACCTAGAAGCCCAGGAGAGCACCCAACACAAAGCCAGTCTAAGCAGATGACCTAAGGAGCTTGTCAGATCCATAGGAATTCCCAGGCCTCAGGCCACTGAGTTTCACTCTGAATCAGGAAGAGACAGGAAGCCACACGCATTGTTAGATGTCCTGCCCAAAGCCAAGCGCTGGGCAGAAGCTTCAGATGACACCTGAGGAGTGCAGGGCAGAATATGCAGCCTAGGTTTGAACAGGGCACAAACACCTGCCACCTAGGGTCAGAGCCAGCCCAGACCTACCCCTGGTAATTGGCTTGCAGCGCCACCTGGTGGCTGGAATTTGGAGATGTGCATCTTGGTAGCCCTGCTCTCCCTTGCTCGTTGGGATTCTGGAATGCTGGCCACCTAACTAGTAAGCCTCCTGGGCCAGCTCCACACATCCTTCCAATCCGTTCCCTTCGCATGAACCCCATTCATCTCTAGGTGCTCCACTTCATCTAAGAAGCCTCCCCATCCTGCTCCAACTTCTGCACTCACTCTTTTTGCAGCCTGCAGGCACTCACAGGTGTCACTGTGGACCTCTAGGGTCCAGGCTCTGGAGTCACACAGCTCTGGTCTTGAATAATAAAGTCTCCACTTAACAGCTGTGTAACCTAGGCCAGTTACTTAATCTTTCTGAGCCTCAGGTTCTTTATGTTCTTAAGTACAGACAGCAATTCCCACTCCAAAGTATTCTGAAGACCTCATGATATTAAGGCTGAAAAGCCTGTACCAAACAAACACTCAGGAAATGAAAAGTCTCTTTCTACCCCTCTCTGACTTCCACTTCCCTTTCCTGAGAAAAAGCACAGAGGAACAGAAGGCAGAAGTGGGTCACAGGACCTGGGTTCCCTGGACCTCAGTCTCCCTCTCTGTAAAATGAGGCCACCAGATAATTCAACTGTTGTTTTATTCCCCTTGGGTTTTTTTTTTTTTTTTTTTTTTTTTTTATTGGTACCGGGGATCGAACTCAGGACTGCCTGCTTGCAAGGCAGGTGCTTATGCCGCTGAGCTAAATCCCCAGCCCCATCGCCCTGATTTTTTTTTCCAAAGTAAGATGAAATTTTATTTACAAAAGAAGAGAGAGAGATAAAAAGCCACTTCAAGCAGTGGGGGACCCAGAGGTAGGTGATTCTGAGGAAAGCAAATATCCTGTATTTATGATCCTTTCCCTGAGCGCAGCTTCACTCCATGTGTTTGTATGTCTCCCTGCTAGGTGTTTTGGTTTTAATTTGGAATCAACATTGAAACAATCAGGGTGACAGTATTTAAAAAGACAGATTTCTGATGGTCTATAAATTACATACTCAGGACCTTGCCAAACTTAAACTTCTCCTAAATTCTAAAGTCCCTGTCTCCTTTTTCTGACCATAGAAGGGAGTTCTATCTCTCCCTAGAGAGGCAGAATTCAGTGCTTCCTAATAGCAGAGTGAAAGTTCAACAGATTGCCTTGTGTAGGCAGGGTTCAGTGGCAGCAAATGTAGCCACAACTTGGGAAGATACATAGAGTCTAAGGACAGGTGAGATCTTAACCTTGGTTTGTTTTTTGAGACAGGGTCTTACTATATATTCAGGTTGGCCTTGAACTTGTGGCAATCCTCCTACCTCAGCCTTCCAAATGCTGGGATTATAGGTGTGCATCACCAGTCAGCTTTACTCAACTTCTGTTCTTAGCTCATATTCTGCATAGAATATTTTATGTTCTGTGTCATACCCATCACATGTGCCTGACTGTGTTTTGTGCTTCTGGATTTCCAACTGGTACCCAGCACAGAATGGGGAACAAAAGGCAGTGACAACCTATGAAGGCATGTTTACTGCCTCTGCTCCCACCCAAGGGAGCACCAGGCCCTGGCTGGCACCAGGTGACCCTCCCCCTCCCAGCCCGAAACCAGAGCTGGCGCCACTGGGTGAGGAATCTAGGGACCAACTGTCACGGCTCCAGTATCATTGGCCTCTGGACACCTGGATCCAGCTTTGAGTCCCAGCAGTCCCCTGTCAGCCAGCTGTCTGGGAGGCCCAGGCTCTGCCCCAGCCCCTCAGAGCTACCCTCCCTGGGGAAATCAGACAGTATGGGGCTCTGGTAGTGGGAGTGCTGGGGTAGTCCCAGAAGAGGAGCAGGCATGTTTCTGTCCAGAACCAAACCTCAGGCTGGCCTGCAAAGCCTCTGAAGAACAGGTAACAGTGCCCTCTTGTACCCTCCAATCTGTGCAGCCTCTCAGACCTCCTCTCTGGCTGGACATATTCTCTGGGTCACACAGGCCCGTTTCCATGTCTTGATGAGAACAAGAATCAAGTCTGATATTTCTTTTGTGTGGCCTATAGAATGTTACCCAATATATTCTCATTACTTGAAATTAATTAATGAATTACATGCATTCTAAGCAAGAGAGAGAAAACTGTTGTACCTCAGCAGGAAGGAGGGCAGTTGGAAGGCTAGGTGGACTTCCCATCAGCAAGGAGTAAAAAAGAATGGAAACACAGAAAAGCATAGGAGTGAGGCTCAGCTGACCAGGAGGGATAGAGAAGGCATTTCAACAGCAGCGGGGGAGATGGGGGAAAAGCAATAAGCTCTCTAACGGCTGGTGTTGGGATTACAGGCACGTGCCACCACGCCTTACTTGGGTCACCTTTCCTGCCCTGTAGCCAGGTCTGGTCCTGTGTGTGTGTGTGTGTGTGTGTGTGTGTGTACATACATAGATACAGAGTGTACATACAACCAATCTCAACAGCTTCCCAGGGTCTTTGCTCCCTATGAAGCCAGAAGCATGCTCACACACTTGAACCAGGTTCCCAGCCCTTCAAGTGACATATAATAAACTGGAGCCTCCTCCAGTGGCTAGTATAGCCCAAAAGCTCAATAGGAAGTAGCTAGCTGAATGAATGAGAGAATGAAAATTAATTAATGGAAACCATGATCTAGCTAAAGTCAACTGCAAGGAAAAAACAACTAGAGCCAGGAAGCTAACATTGACTGAACACTTAAGAGGAATCAGAGGCTGGGCATGATGGTGCACTCAGGATCCTAGCACTCAGGAGGTGGAGGCAAGAGGATTGCTTTGAGTTCAAGAGCAGCCTGTACTTGGTAGTGAAACTTTGTCTCAAAAAAAACAAAAAGAAAAAAAAAAAAAAAAAAAAGGAGGCAGCTATTGTGCTTGGTATGTTACTGTCCTCTGAGAGTTGAGGAAATCTAGGCTGGTGGTAAATGACTGCTCTACATGAGGTCACAGTACTGGCAAATAGCATATTTGCTCCAGAGACCCACCCCCTCTGTTTGTACCATCATGAAGTTTTGAAAATGTAGTTATACTCAACACACCCTTATCAAGCCTCTGCTCTGGACGGGCTGTGTGCAGGACACAGGGCAGTCAGGGTAAGGAACAATGATTAAGATGAGAAGGCTGGAGTATAACTTAGTCCTAGAGCACTTGCTTCACATGCAGGAACCCTAGGCATGTGTGAGGTCCAGGATTCACGATACCCAACATTGCAAAAAACAACATAGCCATAGCCCTCTCCTTTAGGGCTGAAGAGAAAAATATGTCACCTTTCTGTCCTCAGGCAGAGTGTGGAGGTGCAATTTCAGTAAGGTGTTCTGTTGCCATTGCCATAATTCTAGACGGGGCAGGGTAGAGGAAGGAGACCCCAGGACCTAGGTCTCAAAACTATCAGTGCAGGACCCTGAACAAAAGAGGCTCTCAGCCTCAGGGAGCAAGTGAGAAATAAAAACCTTATTTGAAAACCCAGCTCAACGTGCGTAACCTTAGGCTCCTCTGCACCTAGGGATTCCCATATGATTTGCAGGTTATACCTAAGTGCACTCCCACATACTCTGCTCTCCTGGTGTCCGGTTCCCATGTGTCCCTCTCCTTCCTTGCAGGATACCTACCTGAGGATGGACACTAACACAACTACAGCACTAATTCATCCTTGTCCATGGGTGAGGTGGGTCTGGCAAGGACCCAACCTTACCCACCCTTCCCACTCTCACAATTTATTTCTGCCCTTTGTTTTCTTCTCTGGCCAAATCTCCAGGGCTTCTCTGATCATTAACCTCCCGCTTTAATTGGCTTAGTGGAAGAAAGCAGCAGCAGGGTGATCTCAGGGTGGGTGTCTAGGGGGAATCTCATTTCTGGACAGGGAAGCTCAAGCCGGCTGGTGACACCACAAAAATGCCTGGCACACAATAAGTCCCATGCAACTGTTTGCTATTTCTATTAACATGAAAAATAGTCACCTGGTCCACAGTAGGAACTTCCCCCCAGCAGAGTCCCATGGTCCCTGATACCATAGTTCCGCCAATTCAGGTTCCTAAGGTAAATAAGAGGAACAAGGGTCAGTAACAGCCCATTCTTCAAGGCCCTGCCTGTCCAATTCCCCCTATCCCAGCCAGTCCCACTAATCCTACAATAAAATCTGCGGTTAATCTTGTGTTAAATCTTCAATCCAGGAGGCACCCATCCCAACCCTAGAGATTTTAGGGTTGCTCAGCCTAAGGTTCTTCCCTGCCTAGCATCCACTGTAGGTTGACCTCTCCGCCCTCGGGTGATCCTCCCCTTCCCATTGCTATGCAAATTTCCTCTTTCCAAGAATCAATTTAGAAACCTGGGTTAAACACCTCAGATGTCAGGGCCTCAGGGTAGCAGGTCTGTGAGGTCATTCATTTCATGCCTTCAAGAGGGACTTTACCTCCAGAACCCGAACTCGTTCAGAGTTTCCCTTTTCCAGGCAATTTAAAAAAAAAAAAAAAATGGAACGGGGGCGGGGGGGGGGCTGGGAATTTAGCTCAGGGGCATAAGCACCTGCCTTGCAAGAAGGCGGTCAAGTTCGATCCCCTGTACCGATTAAAAAAAAAAAAAGAAGAAGACAAAAAGACACCTCAACGCCCATGGCTCACCCGACCATTCTATGAAACGTTTGAAAATGCATTTTATGAATCTAAACTCAAGCCCTCAAGTTGATGGAAAAAACGCATACATTTTAAAACGGTAGGGAAAAAATGTTGATATGGGGTCAGAAAAGACTGCATTACTATTCCAACTTTCTCAAACTCTAAAAGTTAAGCCTTAAAAATGTGTTTGCAATCTCACCAAATTTCCAGGGTCAAAGAGGCAGGATGAATGGATGTTCAATGGGAGAGGTGAGTGAAGCAAAAGGGAAGGAGGAGGGCTGCTAAGAACAAGTCACCCCCAGACTGCATTCATGGCCCACGCGTGCAAGGAAGCCAGGGCATCTCTAGTCTCTCCTTCCTCCTTTGGTCACAGCCAAAGTTTAAGGCCCTCATCCCCAACTCCTAAGCCACCCGAAGTCTTTGGGCTCTTTCTGCGTCGCCATCCTCCGCTTCTCTTCTTCACTCTTCCTTCCCCACAGCCTCCCGCCCCCTCGCTGCTCACGGGCACAGGAACTAACTCACCTCTCAGGCGGCGCCTCAGGGATCTCAGAAATTGGGGCCGGGAGGGGGCATGATGGGCCACAGCTTGCGCCTCCGGGATGAGGGACCCCATCACTTGCCGGGGCCCCACCTCAGCCCGGCACCCCTTTCTGGTCCCCACGCAGCGCGGAGACGTGTTCAATCCCATCGCGGCCGCGGGCTTTGTCTGCTCCGCCGAGGAGTCCCGCGCAGGGAGCTCGAGCGCCTCGAGGGGGTCGCCCTCGCCCGGGGCCCTTATTATCATAAGAAAAAGACACGGGACCAGCTGGGACTGAGGGACCCGGCCTCGGAGAGGCGAGCCGCATAAGTCCCCGTACTCTCGGCGTGTTTCTGCGCATGGGCCCCTCTCCTCGCTTCTGCGCCTTAACCAGAGGTGACTCCACGTCCCTCCCAGCCTTAGCTCTGCTTCGGAGCGGCGGGTGGAGACTGCAAGACGCAACCCTCTCTTCCGCGGGTCAGGCATTCCTCCCCGCGCCCGCGGGCGGGAACTACAACTCCCGGCATGCCCCGGGCTCCCGGCGCGCCCCCTCCCGCCCGCTCCATGCTGCTCCATCCAGTTCATTTAAAACAAAAGAGTTTGAGCGCTGGAAGGGGCTGGGCTCCGCTGGGGGCCGCCGAGCGCCGCTCCTGGACTGGGGCTCACTGCGGGAGCCTACGGGGGGCGTCTGGACTGCGGAGGCTAAAGACTCCCGGGCCCGAGGCGGGAGGGTGGGGGCAGAGATCCTGCAGCCCCCCGCCCCCCGTCACCCCGGAGAGAAGAGCAGATCTGCTTTCTGGGTTTCGCTTCTCTTTCCCCCAACCCCCACCGCGGGGGCTGGGGCGAGGGGAGTCGGGTTACAGGGTGTTTGGGGAGGGGGGCTTAGGGGGAGGGTCTATCTTTCTATCTCGCTTTCTTCCCCCCTCCCCAGTTCTTTGTTCCCCCTCCCCACACACCCCCTCCTCTCCTCTCCCCTCCCCTCCTCTCTCCTCTTTTCCCTTCCACCACCTCTCTCTCTCCCTCTCTCTCTCTCCCCCAGCTTTTGTTTCGCCATGCCTAGTCTAGTGGTATCTGGAATAATGGAAAGAAATGGGGGCTTTGGAGAACTAGGATGTTTCGGGGGAAGCGCTAAGGACCGAGGGCTGCTGGAAGACGAGCGCGCCCTTCAGCTGGCTCTCGATCAACTCTGCCTCCTGGGTTTGGGGGAGCCCCCCGCCCCCACGGCGGGCGAGGACGGGGGAGGTGGGGGGGGCGGCGCCCCCGCACAGCCAGCCGCCCCCCCGCAGCCGGCCCAGCCGCCGCCGCCCGCGGCGCCCCCGGTCGCCCCGACGGCGGCCCCCGCGGCGCAGACGCCCCAGCCCCCCACGGCCCCTAAAGGGGCAAGCGACGCCAAGCTCTGCGCTCTCTACAAAGAAGCTGAGCTGCGCCTGAAGGGCAGCAGCAACACCACGGAGTGTGTCCCCGTGCCCACCTCCGAGCACGTGGCCGAGATCGTGGGGAGGCAAGGTAAGCGGACGCCTGGACTACGGAGAGGGCATGAGAGGGGGGCACCCGGCCCAGGAGCGGAAAGTTCATCTTTTCCCTTCCTGTCCGCTTCTGGTTCAGTCCCTTTCCCACAAAGGGGGACCCGCCCCCAGCCCCGATTTCCAAGTCCACAAAGTTCCCTGTTACCCCTACTCGGGACGATTCTCCAGACTCTTCTTCCCGCAGGCTCTCCCCTTAGACAAAGAAATATCCTGGAACTGGAAGAGGGACAGGGCAGGAGGATTAGTCTCAATCCAGGGAGTCTGTCCGGAGGGGGTGTCCACTTCTGGCTAGAAAAACTGACAGACTGTTCCTAGAGTTACTCAGAAGCCCCTACTCTGGTATCCGCTTGAAGATCGGGGAGGGGGCATCCTTGGGGCCCCCAGCCACCTGGAGTTACAGACTTTGGGGTCGACCTGGCCCGAGAAGCCTGACTGAGTACCTATCTCTTTGTTGGGCTGAGCGTAGGAATGGAAGGGGGTGTGGCTCGGGAGGGTCTCACGGGGATGGGGGGGTTGTGAAAGGGGGACTGCTGGGGGAAGGGGATAGGGTGGTCACCCACACACTGAAGTTGAAGGATCCATGAGGTTTTGGAAGGAGTGTCTCCAAGGAAGTGCTAGTCCTGCGTGGACCTCTCCTCCTCCCTCTCTGGCTTTTGTTCTGGGCTGGCCACAGCCTGGGGCCAGAGGCCTGGAAAGGGGTCTCCGAGTGAGGGAGTGGGACAGGGCGGAAGAGGGCATGCTGAGGGGTGAGAAACTTGGACCTGGAAATTTGGTGGAAGGTATGTGTCCCAGTGTGATGGGATGGGGGTGTGTGGAATTAATCCAGTCTAGTGTTTCTGATACCACACCCTCCTCAACTCAGCGTCCCCGAGTGGGGGTGTTGGTTGGTAAGGGTCCAAACTGAGCAGACGGGATCTTGGGGACCCTTCCCTCTCCCAGTTTCTCAAAGCGGGGGCGGGATTTGGAAATTGCAAAGGGGCCGGGCTGGGAGGTGTGGGGTGGGGGAGGAGCAGGGGAGGAGCTGTCCCACAGTGGGGAACAATAGAGGAGCTGCATTCCGGCCTAGAGTGAGGGAGGAGGCCAGGCTCCTAGCAGAGGACGCAGGGAGGTGGATGGGGGCCCCTACTCCACCTTTCATCTCCTCCGGAGGGACTCTGCGGGTTGGGGGATTTAGAAGGCCGAGCAGAATAGAAGAGGGAAAAAGCCACTCCCCTGATGACCCTCACCGCCCCCCCCCACGGGGGGGGCACTCTTGTCTTGAGGTTCTATTTAGAAAGTTGGATTTCCTCTTGTTTGCAGAGACTGGGAATCCAGAGCCTGGAATTGCCCAGGGATCCTAGTATATTTTGTGGGTGAAGGGGTGGTTTTGGGAGGCCCCAGAATCATATGGAGTCATTCTTTCCTCATCTGCCTCCACATCAGATGGTCCTGTTGCTCATAAAAGTAGGGAGATTTCGCCTGTTGGCAGAAGGTTCACCTTCCCCTCTTTCCATGAGTATTTGGAAGTTCTTCCTTCTGTCTGACCTGCCTCTTCCTGCTGCAGCGTTAGGGCTCCTCTATTTGACCTCTAGGAAGGTGACACTCAGGGGGGTCTCCCTTTCAAGAAATGCTGGTTCAGGGTTGCAGACACCAGAAAGAGGCCCACCCCAGCCCTGTGCCACCAAGCTGCTGCCTTTTCTTTCTAGTCTTATACCCTGGCTTGTCCTCTTCACCCCACCCCTTAAAAAAGGCCAGCTCCCACTTAAGTTCCTGGATCCAGAACTTAGAGTCAGACTTCAGGTGCCCATTAGATGGCATATAACCAGAAGTGGCAGAGAGGGAACTTCGTTCCCTAACCCTCCAAGCCTCACAAATCTCACAATCATGTACTCAAAGCAGCAAGGATGTGGGCTTGACAACAGGTAGGACTTCTTAGCAGCCCTGCCAAGAGGTCTGCAGATAAAGTGGAGAGCAAATTCTCCTTCCTGAGATTTTTTTAAAGATGCATTCCCTCCCAAACTACCCTAACGTCTAATCCCAATATTTTTGGACTAGAGAAGCCATCTGGATTAGAAGAAAGAAAAGAATTTTCAGAAGAGCTCACTTGCAGATGCCTGCAGTCTGGACAATCTGAAAAGTGAACCACTTGGTTTTGGATAGATAGAGTGGTGGAAGCAAGGAAGGACATAGAGACCTTTGCCTTGCATGCACCTGTGTATGAACAAGGCAAAAGCTGTGAATGTGTATAGGAATGTATAGTTTGTGCTGAGGAAGTGGGGATGTATGAGTGAAACATGGGCCTCAAGTGCTAGTGTATATTGTGAAAATATATGCAAAGCTCACCCCACAAGTGTCATTTAAATAAAAACACTGCACAGCTCTTAGGTGCATGGGTGAGAACACACACACGTGGCATGCGTGTTTTGAGGATGGGTGTAGGTCTCTGAGGCTCCATGGGAAGCTAGAGGCAGAGGTAGGGGGAAGAATAGGGTTCAGTCAGCCACTGGGGTCCCTAGCTTTTCCTGACTATGACCCCAGTTTTTCCTAGCTGCCCTCACTTTCTTTTATCCTTTTCCCTCTTTGTCTCTCTTTGTCTCATTTCTCTTCCTGCCTGTGTACAATGCCTCCCTACTTTAATACACTCCTTCAGAGCAAGAGTGTGGGGGGACAATACTCTCTTCCTCACCCTACTCAGCCTCCAGCCCATCTCAGCTGTCCTGCCCCGGGGAACAAGGAGACCAGAGTGATGAGCTGAGAGCTGCTCCTCCACACATGATTTTATCTTCATACTCCTCCCTTGAAACTGTTTCTCAGACAGACCCTCCCTAGTCTCCCACACTACACTAGTTGCTGCAGACTTGTTACGATTTGGGAACCCATGAAGATGGACTACCTGGTAAAGGCAAGGGGGAGATCGTAGAGCCTAAGGAGGTTAGTGCTCCTTAGTGAGAGGGCACTTTAAATGAAGGAGGTAACGTGTGGATTGTGTGGTTACTGAGTGTCTTGGGGTCTATGCAGAGATCAGGGTCATCATCTTTGAGGCAGCAATAAGTGATTTTAAACTTTGTGAATGACCAGAGAAATTGAGGCAACACCAAATTTTGGGGGAGAATTTGTGAGTAGCCTTGAGGTTTGCAGCTTGTCTGGGACTATTAGTGATTATTTTGGCAAATGAATGAATTTGGAAGGTCTTAGTGAGGGAAATTTAGTGCATTTTGAAATCTGTGGTTAATAGAGACATTGTGTGAATCTGAGTTCTGATGAGTGGATTGTTTGTGGGGTGGTGTGTGGAGTAGTAAAGGTTTCAAGTAGGCCCAATGATGGGTTCCTGAGTAAGGCCCAGGAAGTCTTACTTATCCCAGCATAAACCTCCTGGTCCTGTGCATTTCTTTCTCTTCCCTTCCCCTTCCAATTCCAGGCTGCAAGATTAAAGCTCTGAGAGCCAAGACCAACACCTACATCAAGACACCTGTACGGGGCGAGGAACCTGTGTTCATGGTGACAGGAAGGCGGGAGGACGTGGCCACAGCCCGACGAGAAATCATCTCAGCAGCTGAGCACTTCTCTATGATCCGTGCTTCCCGCAACAAGTCAGGTGCGGCATTTGGTGTGGCCCCCGCTCTGCCAGGGCAGGTGACTATCCGTGTGCGCGTGCCCTACCGCGTGGTGGGCCTGGTGGTAGGTCCCAAGGGCGCAACCATTAAGCGCATCCAGCAACAGACCAACACGTACATTATCACGCCAAGTCGGGACCGTGACCCAGTGTTTGAGATCACAGGCGCCCCAGGCAACGTGGAGCGGGCGCGCGAGGAGATCGAGACACACATCGCGGTGCGCACAGGCAAGATCCTGGAGTATAACAATGAGAACGACTTCCTGGCAGGGAGCCCTGACGCAGCTCTGGACAGCCGCTACTCAGATGCCTGGCGGGTGCACCCCCCAGGCTGCAAACCTCTCTCCACCTTCCGGCAGAACAGCCTAGGCTGCATCGGTGAATGTGGCGTGGACTCTGGTTTTGAGGCCCCGCGTCTGGGCGAACAGGGTGGGGACTTTGGCTACAGCGGGTACCTGTTCCCAGGCTATGGCGTGGGAAAGCAGGATGTGTACTACGGTGTGGCTGAGACCAGCCCCCCGCTGTGGGCGGGCCAAGAGACTACCACGCCCACCTCCGTGCTTTTCTCCACCACCTCCTCCTCCTCTTCCTCTGCCAAGGCCCGTGCTGGACCTCCAGGTGCTCACCGTTCTCCCTCGACCTCCGCAGGCCCTGAGCTGGCTGGACTTCCGCGGCGCCCTCCAGGGGAGCCGCTCCAGGGCTTCTCTAAACTTGGGGGAGGTGGTCTGCGGAGCCCTGGTGGTGGGAGGGATTGCATGGTATGCTTTGAGAGCGAGGTGACTGCTGCCCTTGTGCCCTGCGGGCACAACCTGTTCTGCATGGAGTGTGCAGTACGCATCTGCGAGAGAACGGACCCAGAGTGTCCTGTCTGCCACATCACAGCCACACAAGCCATCCGAATATTCTCTTAAGTCCCCTGCCCCTCATCTCCTGGGCCCACTCCCCAGGGATCAACCCTGGACCTGTTTTCCACTAAGGTCTTGGAAATCAGTGAGTTGAAGGGCAAGGTGCTTGGAGATATTTTCTCATTGGGGAGGGAGGGAAGAGGGAGGCCATAGTGGCTGAAAGGGTGGGCCACTTTCAGAGCCTCTGGCACCCTGTCCTGAAAAGATCAGGAGGGAGCCAGACTGAATTTTACTAGAGTTACAACTCTGATACCTCAACACACTCTTATATCTGGAAGCAGCTAAGAGAAACTTTTATTTTGCCAGAGGTGGCACTAAGGCCCACCTCCCCAACTGTGTGTTGCTTTACCTGTTCCTTTGTGGGGATAGCTGGGAGAGGGAGAATTACCATCTGTATGTAGAGGTGCTCTGCAGTCCCCAGTCCCTGGCCTTCTGGTCCTGACCTCTGACCTTTTAGCCCTTTAGGTGTTCCACCTCCCATATCCTTTTTGGGAAACTGTCAGTTTCCAATAGTATAAGGGAGCTGGGCCATTGTGCATAGGTATTGTGGAGGGTGGGGCGAGTAGAACTGTCATTCAACAAAGGGCTCAGAATAAATCAGTCCCCACAAAGCTGGGCTAGAGGAATCTGGACAGGGCTGCTCCTCTCTGCCGCCTGCAACTTTTCCCTTTGGTCTCCTCTTCCCTCCATCTTTCCTTACTTTGAGTTTCTCCTTCTTTGCTTTTTCCTTTTTCTCTGGCTCTTTGTTTCCCTGGGTGGCCTCCACTCCTTTTTGGCCTTCTCCTTCTCTTTGCTCCAACCCTCCAGCCCAGCTTTGGGGATCCATCCACCTGGGGAGAAAAGGGGGAAAACATTTTAATGGTCCCTCCTATTCTTCTCCAGGCATTGGAAGGTCCTCTCCCCAACTTCTCCAAAGAACAGCTCCAATTCTTGATGAAACGTATCCCCATTCTCAGTGACAATTGGAGGGGAGAACTGATCTGGGGTACGTAAAGGGTCAAATCCCCACCTTCATCATCTATGGGCATTATACTTAGGAAGCAGCTCTTGAGCTAGGTTTTCTAGTTGTGGGAATAGGGAGCCAGGAACAGGAAAGGGCCTGGGGCAGAGGAGACCAGCTGTGAAGGGTTCTGCACACCACCAGGCCAGGCTGCTCTCTAGATCTGACAACTTTCACTAAATCCCTGTTAGCATGCAAATCATGAAGTCTCTGCCCCACCTGAGGAGGTTGAGGGCCAGGTCTTCAGAGACTGGTCAGGCCAGGGCAAAGCAGAATTGGGGAGCCCAGAGCCTGTTCCAGAAATCAAGTATTGTGGCAGGCCTGGAGTCAGTCCCCTTTGCTGCCTCCCTCCTGCTCTCTTAGGGCTACCACTTCGTACTCTCCTGGTTCCGCTGGCCGGGCCAGAAGGAGTAGGGAGACAGGAGCCCCCAGGGGCCAGGAGATCCTTGTATATATTGGATGGGACAGTTCTGAGTGATCACTAAACACTAAGAACTCACAAGTCCCATTCTTCCTGGGGGAGAAGGGGTGCAGGGATGAAGGTACAAGAGGAGTTCCCTCTTCCACCAGTTGTGAATTAACTCACCTCTCCTCAACCTTCCCCTCCAGACCACCAGCCTGGGAGGGAGAGGAAAGAGGTCACAGCCCAGAAAACTGGCCTGTGTCAGCTTCCCTCCTTCCCACCACCGTGAGCCATCCTGAGATGTCTGTACAATAGAAACCAAACCAAATGGGCGCCCCCAATCACTGGGGGAAGTGGGGAGGGGGGTGGGAAAAAAGGATATGTCTGTCAGTCCCCTCCCCCTCTCCACTCCTTACCCACAGAGGCAAAAGACTGTTATACTAGGGGGCTCAGCAAATTCAATCCCACCAGTACCAAATGAGCCAGACCTAGAAACAAACACAAAACACATAATGAGTGACGAACACAGAGGAGAGAAAGCAAGAACTCGAGAGGGAGCGAGCTGGGTGACCAACACAGAGGAGAGGAAACAAAAATAGCAAAAAAGAAAAAAAAAAAGCAGTTCTTTATAATTTAATATTCTATTTTAATAAAGGCGTTTATTACCGTATAAATGTAGCAAAGAACCTGGGCTAATATGAAAAAAAGACTTTTTATTAGGTAATTTATTATATGAAAAGGATATTTTATTTTATGATAAAGTGATCCTTAAAAAAATAAAAAAACTTTAGAAGGTTTAGAATATATGTAGGGAGAGAAGAAGAAAAAGATACATTTGTATTCAGAGTTAAATCTTAAAAAAAAATGTTTTTAATATATGTTCGGGTTTATGTTCCTTTTTTCCCCTACTTTTTTTTGGGGAGGAATGTCGCTTGTGTTTCTTGGGGGAGCATCCTGGGATTGATGGTGGAGAGGGGCTGGGGAACCTGGTCCCTTCTGGGGCCCCACAAGTAGATTGGATTTCACTCTGTGGGCTCCCCCTCCCCTCTCCCCTCCCCTCAGGGGAGCTGGCAGAGCCAAACAAAGAAAGGGATTAACCAGAAAGGAAGAAGCTGTGGGACTAAGGACTGAGGATCCTGGGGTATCCCCCCCCTTCCCCTGCCATGTCCCAGGGGCAAGTGAGGAGGGAAATCCAGAATGGAGGCCTAGCGCTAAGCAGGCCCGTGGGAATCCTCAGAGAGGTGTGAGATTTAAGAGAAATAGATTTTTTTTTAACCAAAAAAGAAGAAGAAAAAGAGAAACCGAGGGGTTTAAAAGAAAAGAATACTACAAAATAATAATAATAATTCAAATTTATTTCATATAATCCTAGAGAAAGAAAGAATTACTAGTTACTTAGTAGATAATATTCAGATAGCTTAAAGTTTAGTAGCATTGAGGACCCCTGGGTCCAGTAGAATGTATAAAAGTATTGAAAAGAATAGAGGAGGAAAGTGGCTAAGTCCACCCTGAGTCTCCCCATCTTCATTGATCAGGGTTGGAGCAGGTTTCAAGTTAAGATTGGGAGCTTCCAGTCTGCTGGGGTTGATTCTGAGAATCCTTGGAGTTTTAAATTGTAGGATGAGTAGACGAGGGGCTCAGTTCCCAGGATCTTTGAAAGGATGCACACTGATCATCATCTCAGCCAGGCTGGGGACTGGCTAGATGCAGCAGGGCCCCTCATCCCGCAGTCTGCTGGGTAGTTCTTACTCCAACATGATGCACCCTCTCTTGGGGTTCAGGATGGAGACTGCTCAGCTCCAACTTTCCTAAGTCAGTTTTTCCCAGGCCTAACTGCCCAAAAATCTTTCTTGAAGTGTAACATCCATCCACTTCACTACAGATCAGTTTAACAGCCTGGTAAGCCATTCTGGGTTCAAGAGCTCTGAGGGAATCTGTCCTCCATCCCTGTTCCCATCCAGCATTTTGTGGAGCTTTTGACCTCCATGACAGCAGTGGGAGTAATGATCTTGATGATCGTGCTCCTTTAAATCTACAGTGCTTTACAAGTCTGCAAATTAACAGAAACTAGATTTGAAGGACTTTCCACCCATTGGGGTACAGTGGAAACAACCTTGGAAGCCTGGAAGAGTAGCTCCCCAAGTACAGAGGCAGGGCAAGGGCGACTTGGGTGACTCCAGGCCTAAACCCTTGTGCTGCTATCCACTTCCATCAGTAACTGTTCAGATAAGCGTTGTCCACCGTACCCTAGCTTCAGGCGTTTGCCTTCCCTTCAGGAAATTTTGACACCTGGATTTTGCATGTGAGGAATAAGCATTTTTGGAAGCACTTGCCTTCTACCAATCCCAGCAGGCAATCAAATAGGGCTCTTTCCTCCTGTCCAAAAGGATGAGGAGCCCCCAACCTTTCCTTCTGGCAAGAAACACCTGCTCCGTTACACCAATAACTGCCATGCTCCTCCCTGACCCTACACCCCAAACACATCTCCCTCTCCCCAGTTTACTCTTCTCATCCCACCTAGGGAAAGATTTCTCCCTGCTCTTTTTGTCCTAGAACCCTCGCTAGTTTGGGATGGTAGCGTCTGGGATGGGGAGGGCTTCCCCTTCCCCACTCGAGGGTGCGGGTGGGGTAGGGTGGGTTGGGGGAGACACCCTGGGGCAGGGGGATGGTCTCTCCACTGTAGAAAGTAGAGTAGGATTGTGGTCAGACTTAATTTGAGGCATCTAGTGAAGACATATACACATCCACCAAGAAAAATTTTAAAAGCAAAATAAAGGCGGGAAATGAAACAGACCCATGAATAATCAAATCAAAGTGATGTTGCACAAAATGCAGAGAAACCAAGAAGGGGGAGGGTTAATGTATTAAATGTGCTATTAAGAACTTAATTTTATTAAAAGTATTATTACTTAAGGCTGCTTTTCACTCATGTGTCTACTACTGTTTTGGGACAAGTGGGAAGAACTGCAGTTGGATTTTCTCTAGGGTTACCGAGTGCCCTGCACAGCAGTGGAAAGTGTGTATTCCAGAATTCCCCTACCACCCTTGGCCTCTCCTCAGCTCCACACTTGAATCTCCTAACACACAGTCTCCCTACCCTTTTACTCCTTTCAAGATGCACTCACAGCTTCTTCCCTGACCTGCCTAGAGGGGAAAGTCAGCTCTTCTCTGGACTGCCCTCTCCTAAGCTGCATGGGGAAAAGGGCAGAAAGCTGTGAGGAGACCCTGCCCATTTACTCCACCTTTTCATTCCATTCCTCTTTGGGGACAGGAAGACTCAGACCTCCCATTGCCCATCCTTAAAACCTTTCTCAGGAAATGTGTAGGGCCTGCCGGACGGACACCCTGCTCCTGTACTCTCTGAGCCTCCTCCTATTGCCCCTCACATTGGAGTGACCTCAGTTCTTGGCACCAAGGCCCTGGGCACCAGATGGTGCCTGAGATGGTTTCCTTTGTCTCGCTCTCTAGATCCCCCTCCCCTCCACGCTGTCTTCCCTCCCCCACCTGCCCTGGGGGGTTGGCAAAGAGAGGGGCGGGCACCTCCCGCCCCCTTGGCACTGTCCCCAGACCACAGAACTCTAGAGGCAGCTGGTCCTGGGGGACAGTGGATAAGGAAGAGAAGACTAAAGAAAGGGGAGGGGGAAGGAAAGAGGACCAGAGACTCAAAAGGGGCCAATGTTGGAGGGAGCCACAGATAAAAGGAGGAACAGACATGAAGTAACAGGATGGCCTTGCATTGCTACAAAACACAGCTTTATTTGAGAGCTCTGATCTGTGATAGGCAGACAGGCAATGGAAAGAAAGACGGTAGGCATACAGACCCTGAGGCCCTGGGAGGCTGTGAACAGGGTACAAAAGGGCAGGGAAAGGTCCCACAGGAGAGACGGTGGGGGATCCAGGAGCACAGGGACAGGGTTGGCCATGGCCAAGGTTAAAGGCTGATGCAACAGGCCTTCTTCTCTCCAGAGCTGGGGTCCTGCCCAGGCTGGGTATCGCCCAGGGTGATGGTGTTGGTCCGGGTGCTGTTCTGCCTCTGCTTGGACACCTTTGCAAAGATCTCTGAGAATCAGAGAGCAGTGATCAGGTTAAAAGGTTTACATCCTGTGTCTCCCCACCAACCCACATTCCCCTTCTGAGCACTGGGGCAAGGGGAGGGGCATGCTGGTAGGAGGTTCTGTTGGGAGGGAGTTGGCCACCTAGGTCCTTCCACTTACCTAGGTAGAGAAGGAACCAAGACTCATCCCCCTGGAAAGTGTGGCCTTCTGGTTCCTTCTCTAAGCACCAAGCTGCTAAGTGCAGGGTCCCAGGGAAGGACTAGGGGTTTAGGCAGTGATGCAAGGGGCACTGACAAGTCAGTTGGGATGAGGATTGGGTGTCTCCATGCCTTCTGAAGCCAGGGGGACAGAAGAGGGAGACTGGCGCTGAGGCAGGTTCTAACCTTTGAGGACAGTCTCGAAGGCCAATTCAACATTGGTAGAGTCCAGAGCTGAGGTCTCCAGGAATAGCAGCCCATTGTTTTCTGCCAGGAAAATGTACCATTTATTGTGGGGGAGGGGGGTCAAAGGCAACAGTAATGATGATGATGATAGCTGTAATAGTCACTTAATGTTTATTATGTGCATTTTCTACATGCTAATTCTTGACATAGAGTAGCTTACTTCATCCTTAAAACAACAGATGAGGGCTGGGGATTTAGCTCAGCGGCATAAGCGCCTGCCTTGCAAGCAGGCAGTCATGAGTTCGATCCCTGGTACCGATAAAAACGAAAAAGACAAAAACAAAACAAAACAAAACAGATGAGGTAGATTCAGTTAGGAAACAGAAACTCTGAAAAAGAGAGGCTGAAGGAGGACCTTACCCCATGCCATACATCTAGTAAATGGCCTAGAAGTGATACCAGGCTGGCCTGACAGGCTGCAGTGCTTATACCCAAAAGCACTAGGTGCTGCCACTAACCCCACAAAACTCTCATGGAAAGAGTGACTAGAGAAGGTCAGGGAAGCTCACCACGATCTTTAAGCATGGAAAGGTAGGACTCTTAAAATCAATTATGAGCCAGGCCTGGTGACACAATCCTATATTTCCATCATTCTGGAAGGCTGAGGCAGGAGGATCACAAGTTCAAGCCCAACCTGAGAAACTCAGCCATTTAGTGAGGCCCTATCTCAAAAATTAACAGTGGGAAAAAAAATATATTAACAATGGGCTGGGTATGTAGCTCATTGGTAAGGTCCTGGATTCAATCCCCAGAATTGCAACACAAAAACACAAATCCAACTATGAATAATTGCTGATGAAGACAATCAGGGAAAGTGGGAGGACATGACAGGAGACATAGGGACCCAGAAAGGAGGAGCCAGGAGATCCTGACCAAAAGGGAATGCATGTGAAGAAGCGTATGGGGGAAGTCATGCAGGGGCTGCAGGGGAAGCAGGGATGGGAGACTGAGCCAAGATGTGGAAGCTTGGAAGAGTTGCATGGTGTGGGGGTGTTGGGTGCAGGTGTTGTGTGGAGGGTCAGTCTCACCAGCAAACATACGGGCCTCATCAGTGGGCACTTCTCGGGCCTGGCTGAGGTCACTTTTGTTCCCCACAAGCATAACAACAATAGTGGCCTCAGCATGGTCGTAGAGCTCCTTCAGCCAGCGCTCCACTACAGCATAGGTCTGGTGTTTGGTTAGGTCAAACACCAGGAGGGCCCCCACTGCTCCACGATAGTACCTGGGTGGGAGTGGGGGTGGACAGAGACAATGGGGGTGTCAGGCTCAGTCTCTGAATGGAGTCTTTAAGCCAGAACACCTTTGTGATCTTCCTTAAGTGACTCTTCAATCTACATTGTCTTCTGTACTGTCTCATGTGGCTAGCTTTCTAGGACTAGCAAATGCCTACCATTGCAGCAGAGTCCCTGATCAGACAACCCAAGCGATTATTGCATGCACACAGCCTCCTTTTTGGGGCTAGAAGGGCCGTCTTCACACAGTGGTGTCTAATTATTCTCAGTGAATCAAGAGGCTCATAAAAGGACAAGTGATGGCCAGGGATTTAGCTTAGTGGCTTACAGTGCCTGCCTGGCAAATGTGAGGTCATGTGTTCTATCCCTGGTCCCAGAAACAAAAAAAAAAAACCCACAAGTGACTAAGAATATGTGCAGTGGGGGCAGGCAGTCGTGAGTTCGATCCTTGGTACCAATAAAAAGGAAAAAGACCAAAAATAAATAAAGAAAAGAAAAGAATATGTGCAGCCCTTGTCTGTGTGTATACTTACTTACGGCTCCTGCTTCCTGCCCCTACCATGCATGCACAGACCAGACCATCTCTCACATAATTGCACCTGATGCTGTTTAGGAGACATTTAAGATGTGGTGTCTGAAGGCCTAACTTTTTGTGCCACCTCTGAGACTATTTAAAATCCAAACTCCAGGTTTTGGCCCTTGGCGACTGTGATCAATGGATGTTTTCAAGTGCAGACTACTGTGCCGAAGTCAAGGGGCACTGTTGATGCAGGCAGCTGCCGCTCCTAGCTCCACCCTGATTTTGCCTTGCTTGTATTTATACAGGGAGTAAGTAATAAATTATAGCACCTCATTTCTGTGGCACATACAGTGCCGGATATAAAGTGCTTTGTATCCTCCTGGGCATGTGGCAAAGGCTTACTAAGTAGTGGTGATAACTTGTTTTTAGTTCTGCTGGTCAGTACCATTGCATCCTGTCTAGCACTATTTGCTGTTAGTATTTGTATCACCTATGATCTGCCTGAAAGGCATCTTGCTGAGTCCTCTACCACCCTCTTCCTCTCCCCCCTTCCCAGTGCTCCAGCAGCCCACCAGCCCCCAGGCCCTAGGCTCACGCTGAGGTGATGGCTCGGTATCGCTCCAGGCCAGCTGTGTCCCAGATCTGAGCCTTGATGGCAGCAGTGCCCAGCATCACAGTGCGGGTGGAGAACTCAACTCCTATGGTAGTGCGGCTGTCGTGGCTGAACTCATTGCGGGTGAAGCGTGACAGCAGGTTGGTCTTCCCCACACCTGATTCACCAATCAGCACCACTAAAGAGGTGGAGAAATAAGGGCCAAATGTCTGAGCCCACCTGAGTTTGGAGGGTCTATCTAGCACATGCATGTAATCCCAGTTTTCTGGAAGGTTGAGGCAGGAGTTGTTCAAACCTACCTGGGAAACCTATCAACTTAGTGAGACTCTATCTCAAAAAATAAAAAAAGACCTGGGAATGTACTATATAACTCTATGCAAAGGCTCTGGGTTCAATCGTTAGCAACACATGAACATACAAGAGAAAGAAGGAAGGAAGGAAGAAAGGAAGGAAGGAAGGAAGGAAGGAAGGAAGGAAGGAAGGAAGAAAGAAAGAAAGAAAGAAAGAAAGAAAGAAAGAAAGAAAGAAAGAAGAAAAGGGAGACAAAAGAGGGGAACTGAGCTCAAAAAACTGAAGACGAAGGAGCTGGGTCTCCTAGAATAGATTGGGGCCAGCAACTCTACATAATTCTCTCTCTTGGTGGGCAGAAGGGACAAGAGTTTGAAAAGGAATAAAGTAGGTGCTGAAACTGTAGTGACACAGTTGCAGAGTCTGCCTCTGTTGCTGGTGTCGCATCTACAGGCTGTTTATTGATGTAAGAGCAATGTATGGAAGCATGTGTTCCTGTGTGTGTGTATGTGTGTATATATAAAAAGTTAGGGTCAAGTTGGCCCAGTACTTGGGAGGCTGAGGATTGTTATCAGTTCCAGGCCAGCCTAGGTCATGTCATGAGTTTAAGAGCCACCTAAACTGCATAGAAAGACCCTGTCTCAGGAAAAAAGAAGAAGGAGAAGAAGATGGAGAAGGAAAAGAAGACGAAGACGAAGATGAAGACGAGGAGGAGGAAAAGGAAAGAAGAGGGAAAAAATGATGAGAAAGAGGAGCAGAGGATAAAGGAGGGGAAGAAGAAATTAGGACCAGTTGTCTTTAAGGAGGAGCTGTCCTGCATGACAAAGAGTATGATGGTGAGTGGAGCATGTTGGTGAACCCCTGCAATCCCACCTCTCTGGGAGGTTGAAGCCAGAAAACTACAAATTTAAGCAACTTAGTGACCTAGAAAGATGGTGTCTAAAAATAAGAAAGAGAAAAAGGTCTGAGGATATATTTCAGTGTGAAGTTCCTGGGTTTAATTTTCAGTACCACAGGAAAAAAAAAATCTTTTTGTTTTGAGACAAGGCCCCACTATGTAGTTCAGGCTGGCCTTGAATTCACAATGTAACCTAGGCTGGCCTCAAACTCACAGTGACCTCTTGCCTCACCCTCTCTAGCATGGGAATTACAGACATGTGTACCACCCCAGGCATTTAAAAAAAAATCTTATTGGGGCTGGGGATTTAGCTCAGTGGCATAAGCGCCTTCCTTGCAAGCAGGCAGTCGTGGGTTCGATCCCTGGTATTGATAAAAAGGAAACCCCCCCCCAAATCTTATTTACATAAGGCAAGAAAAGGTTGGAAGTTGTCTGACTATGTGGGTGAGAGGATATATGTATGGGCATATATGTGCATGTGCACACATGTGTACCTGCCCTTCACCTCTCAAGACCCCTCATTCTTGGTAGAGGGTAGATGTGCTCAATTCACTCCCCTGCTCCAAAGTTGCTCAGGAGAAGTCTTTAGAGTTAAACAGACTTAGATTTGAGTACTACCTGCATTGTGAGCTTTTGTGAGTTTAATCTGCCTCAGCCTCAGTTTCCTCATCTGTAAAATGGAGATACTAATTATCAACATTTATTGATTGCTTATGAAGTACCAGGCACCATCCTAAAAGCTGTATGCATATCAACTCATTTAATTCTCACAGCAATGTCTTATCCTTATTTACACAGACAAGGAAGCCATTTGGGAGGTCAAATGATTTATCCCGGATAACTCTGCTAGTGTACAAATGTGACAGCCAGATCCACCTCTCTGCACACCAGTAGGAGGACAAGAGGGAGGGGGTTTGATATGTATATTTGCATTGTGCACAGAAGTATGGGTAAGGGGAAAATTTAGTGAGTGACATATGAGTGAGAGGAACATATGGAAGTATGTGTGCCTATGTGTGTGGGTATAAAAAAATGTGTATTCCTGTAACCCCAGCACTCAGGAGGCTGAGGCAGGAGGATCGCTGAGAGTTATAGGATACCTCTACCTGCTAGTTCCTTCAGTGGCTGTCTCCACATAGCACCTCACGGAAGCTGTATCCTTCCTAGGCAGCCCCGTGCAGTGCCTGGACAAGTCAAGGCCATCGTAGAGCTCCCTATCCCTCACCTAAAGCTTCATGGAGACCAAGCTGCATGGACTGCCACCTCTTCCCAATCCCATTCTCTCCTCTTTCCTTTCACTAGTACTAATCCTCAAATAACACTGAACACCCCAAACTTTTTAGGCTCTGGTTTTGCCAATTCCACTGGGCCTAACTGATAAAAGGCAGAGCTGGGTTCTGAACTTGTCTGCTCCTGACTATGATATTATTGCATCTCTCAAAACGAAAGAACTTTTAGGTGGTGGTATAGCGATTAAAGAGATGGTGGCTTATACCCAGGTAGGACTCAACAAATAGTACTATTAGTATTTATTGCCCAAACTCTTGCTGAAGCTTACCCTGGCTCCTTCCTGGGAAACATGCCAGAAGTACAGGTTCTCCAGCCTGAGCTGGGGTGTGGCTGAGGTTGGGAGAGGCAGTGGGGTGGGGTGGCTAGAAAGAGAATGGGAGTTTGACCAGTCCACCCTGCTCTCAAGGCATGGCAAAGACTTGGAGAACCGTCTCTACCTCTTTCCATTTCTTTCTGGTCTCATGCTTCCTCTCTATTCATAATGGGGCTCAAAGAAGCAGAAAGGATACATGCACACTTCCAAGGACAGCCAAGTTGAATGCAGTGCCTGGGTCAGGGCCACAGAATCTGCCCATGGACCGGCAGATGAAGCTTCAGGTCCAAGAGTGCTATGGATTCTGTCAGGCTCCGAATTCATTGCATCTGCCCTATGTCTTCCCTGTGTATTTACCACCCAGCCCAATCTCAGATTGGTCTCTCCCCTCTCTCCTTTCTTGTCCACCATCCTAGAGAGATGATTTTCTTTTGCTTCAATCTCCTTTTTATCTTTCTATACAAAAAGGAAGTCCTTTCTGAAGTCTGACCTCTATTTCTTGTGCTGTGGGGCTGACTCTTCCCAGGAACTTGGGCTTCTGTTAGGAGCAGGAAGGAGAGCCGCGCTTGGCAATATAAAGGCACGATCAGCATCATTATACACACCAGTGGAGTACCCTTGGCAGCCCCAGGACTTTTGCCCCTGTGATCAGACCCTCTTCCCTCTCTGCAGCTTCCTTTCTTAGCTGGAGAGGATAGTGAGTCCCAGGGGTTCTGGTAAGAGATAAAAAGCAGGAGGGGACCCTCTCTGGCTCTTTCCATTTCTTTCTGTTCTTAGTCTTCCGAGTTCATGAAGCCCAACTTACCTTTGAAGACAAAGTTATAATCATCCTCTTTTCCATTCCCCATCTTGGCTCTGCATGGAAGATGCAGGTGTTTTAGGGGTAGACGTCACGAGACTATGTTGGCTGAACGTCCTCAACCCTTGGCTCTCAAGAGACTGGGCCCCACTTCCCCTCTCATTGGAGGAAAGGAAACTTCTGCAGCCAGAGAGACTGAGGACCAACCAAGGCCAGGCAGAACCCACTGAGGCTCGGCAGGTAGAGGTGCTGTATGGAAGGTGAGAGGACGGAAGCAGCAGCGAACAGGAAGAGAGGCAGCCGGGACCTGGGCCCCAAGTGGGTGGAGAGAAGCTGACGTCAGACAGGTTAGACAGGTTGGATGTCTGCTCACAGCCTGGGCTCCCACTTGCAGGGCAGCTCCCAGGGATAACAGTGAGGAGGCTGAGGGGTGGGGGCACATGATATTGAAGAGAGAGTCCCCCCCCTGCAAGGGCTGAGGACGGAGTGTGCATGGCTTCACTTCTGAAATCTGTGGCGGGGCATTTGGGCAACCACCCTTGAGAAGTAGTTCCTTGGCTTCTACTTTTTCTGCAGAGGTTCTGGCAGGGATATACTGGGGACCCCAGAGGAAATGATGCTAGAGCAAGGAGTAGTGGTAGATGGAATGCCAGTCATGTGCGGAGCTGTGGGTACTACATTGTGAGCATAGTGACTTCTCCCTCTCCCTGACGCCCAGTACCTGGGATGCCCAGGGAGGGCAAGATTTCTTACTCTGGATGGAGCTGGAATTTACAAACTACCCACTTACCTGGGGTGGGTTCCTGACAGTGTTGGGGCTGGGAGCTGGAAGCTCCTCCACAGAACTGTTCTAAAGACAAAGTAGGAGAGACATGGAACAGGAATTTGGAGATGGAGCAAGTACAGGGGCAAGATCTGGAGAGGATCCCTCTGAGGTTTCCTGGGGCTTTTCCATTCTTTGCCCAGGACCCAGTCTCACAGTAAGGGCATCTTGTGTACAGATTTCAACATCTAGAAAGGGGAAGCCGGCTGTGGAGCACATGCCTGTAATCAGTAGTCATGTGGCTGAGGCAGGAGGATCTCTGTGAATTTGAGGCCAGCTTGGGCTACACGTTGAGTTCAATGCCAGCCTGACCCTGCCCCCGCCAAAAAAAAAGACCTGAAAAAAGTCTGGAATGGAGGCTCCTATATTCTTTAACATTACTAGGTCTCTACACTTCTGTACTCACTCAGATAAGTATAATTATGCTGAGTGGTAGGGGTTAGGGGGGGTCAAACCACTGAAGAGTCCAAGGGAATGGGAACAGCATTGCCAATGGTAAGTTGGGGAAGTCACAGTAAAGGAAAAGACAGAAATCCATCCTGCAGAACACAAGGAATCTTCTGATTCTTCCCATCCAAGAAAGTGGTCAAGACAAGGTAGAAGTTGAAGAAGTTTATTTTAGTAAAAACTAAGTCCCATTCTCTCCCCAGCAGTTCAGAAAGGTTTTCGCAGTGGGCCCTGCCCCTCCAATCGTCATGAAGAGTGTCCAACAATCCCTGCTAGGATGCTGCTACTTGAGTGAGGGGCTCCTCCAGGTACTGCACCAAGGCCTGGGCCTGCAAGAGGGGTACACATCAGTCCCCACATGACTATGACTCCACGGACCCAAGTGCTCCCCATGCCAGACTGAGCAACTGCCACCAGCCCCAGCTGCTCCTGGGAGTGGGCCACACTAGACATGGACTAAGGAGATGTAAGAACTCCAGAAAGTGGGTGTGGGTTGGAGTGGACACAGTGATGAAGCATAAAGCCTGGACCCAGGATAGAGGAGGGATGGGCACATACACACCTTGGCCTTGAGCATCCCGAAGCCCACGGTCTCCTTGGCATACATACACAGCAGAAGATTGGCCACTCGGGTGATGGCTACACGGCCCTCCTGGAGGGGTACATGAGGAATGGAATGCTCTGCTTGACACCTTTAGCTCCCTCCTTCCCCAAGGGCTTTTCCGCCCTGAGAGACTATATCTTCCATTCCCTAGGAAGCTTTGGTCATAGCTCTCGACATGGGATAATGAGCCTGGGTTCCAGTCTCAGCACAGATACCTGTTAGACTCAGTGTCTTTCTGTAACCCCTAGCTCAGCCCAGTTGATGGATATAATATACATATGAATGCACCTGTCAAGGATTATGCAAGTAAGTGGTATTATTATTTTAGGTTCATCCCAGAAACACAACCCAATTTATTATATTTTTCCTCTTTTCCTATGTCAGTGTTTTTTAAACTGCAGAGATCAATTGAAAAGGTTAGCTGACTCAGGAGACTAAAGCAGGAGGATTGTTGCAAGTTCAAGACTAGTCTGGGCTATAAAGTGAGCTAAAGGCCAGCCTGAACTGCATAGTAAGACCCTGTCTCAAAACTCAGTAGGTCATAAATTAGAAAATTGGAGTGGAAAAAAAAAAACAAACTCAGTAGGTCTCATCTGCTGAACCAAAATGGCATTGGTTGGGCAAGAGTAGGCAGCTGGTTATAATAAGGCTCCTTCAGTTTGGTGCTGTGTTCCTTTGCAAATTGTCTAGTATACAAGGGGCCAGGCACTGTACACCTTAGCTCTCTGGTCTCATCTATCGCCCTCCTCCGTTCTCATGCCACTCCAGTCATAATAACCTTGTTGATCTTTGACCAGGGCTTTTACACTTGCTGTTCTGTCAGAAATATCCGGGGCTGGGAATTTAGCTCAGCGGCATAAGCGCCTGCTTTGAAACCAGGCAGTCGTGGGTTCAATACCCGGTACCGATAAAAAGGAAAAAGACAGAAAAAAAAAAAAAAAAAAAAAAGAAATATCCTTCCCACAGATAGCCATATGGCTTTGGTCCCCACCTTCCTTCAGATCTTTGATCAAGTATCAGTTTTTCAGTGAAAGTGTTCCTGACAAATGTCCCCCATTCTACTTTCTCACTTTCCTTTTTTCTCTATTATAATTTTTCTTTCTTTCTTTTTTGGCAGGAAAGAGTATTCAACCCATGGGCACCTTGTCACTGGCCTAGACCCCCCAGATCCTCTCCCTTTTTATCTTTGGATTTTTTTGTTTGTTTGAGCAAGAAACTACGTAGTTCAGGCTGGTTTCAAACTCACTGTGACCCTCCTGCCTCAGTCTCCCAACTGCTGAGATTACACGTGTGTGTCACCATGCCTGGCTTTCCTTCCCCCCTTTTGGATATAGGATTTTGATAAATTGTCCAGGCTGGCCTTAAATTTGAACATGCAATCTTTCTGCCTCAGCCTCCAGAGTAGCTGGGGTTGTAGGTATGTGCCACTGAGTTGGGTCTGTTATGTTTTCAAAATCTAACGTATGTTTTATTTATTTTAAACTATATATAAGACTGTAAGCTTTGTTTGGGCTAAAAATTATATCTGTTGGGGCTGGGGGTTTAGCTCAGCGGCATAAGCGCCTACCTTGCAAGTGTGTGGTGGTGAGTTCAGTCCCTGGTACTGATAAAAAGGACACACACACACACACACACACACACACACACACAAACTGTATCTGTTTGCTACTGACTTAGAGACAATTGGGACAAACAAGAAATCTTAAAGGTATTCATTAAAAGTATGGTATGTGCTAGGCATGATGGTACACATCTATAATTCCAGATGTCTTAGAGGCTGAAGCAGGAGGATCACAAATTTGAGCATAGCTTGGACAACTTAGCAAGATCATGTCTCAAAACAAAAAATAAAAAAGGGCTGGGGATACAGCTCAGCATGTAGGTGCTGAGTTCAATCTCTAGTACCATGATTTAAAACAACAAAAAAACCAATTTGTACTTTCTTCTAAGAAAGGGACTTAAAATGATTTTTGCTAAAAAAAAAAAAAAAAAAAATATATATATATATATATATATATATATATATATATACACACACACACACATATACATACATAACTCCTCTCTTGGGCCTACAAGTTCCCAAAAAGGTAGAATAAAGCCTGACTTTCACTTTGTAAAACTCTGGATCAAATCTTTCTCAATTTTGCACATATGCATATTAGTCATTTTAGGAATACCTGTCTAAAAATTGGCAAAACAAGTTTAGCTTGAAATTTATCTTGCCTATCTCACTGCCCTTTAAGACTGAGAACACCTGCACCCTTAAGTCTCTACCACCCTAAAGCTGTGTTCACCTTGGATTGCAGCACAGCCTCATGCCTGACACTAGCCCTGCATGATGAGGATCCATCTGTTGGAACCAGACTGCTCCTCAGGTTATGAGATTCTTCTCTCCGGAAGTGAATTGCCCCTCAGGTCAGGAAGATTCAACCTGTGCTGAAAACCAGGACTGAGATAATAACTGATCAGACCCTGGTCCACCTTAGCTGACCCTTAAAAGCTGGCCTCCTGCATCTGTGGGCAGAGCAATGTGATCATCTTCAACAGAGTGTGCCCCCTCTGCCTACTCACACTGGAGTCTTTTCTTACCTTCCAAATAAAGCTTTGTCAATTCATACTGTCACTTTAGTTGTAATTTCCATGATCACTAAAGCAAGGACCCATGTTAGCCAGTGACACCATTTTGCTAGTCCTAAGAACACTGTCGGGACCTAAATACTTGTTGAATAAACAGATTCAGAGATGAATGAGATAGTCTCTGCTCCAGAGAAGTTCACAGTCTAATGGCTACTTTTTTTTTCTGGGTTTCATTTCCTTTCTTTGTAAACTGAAAGTTGGGCTGAAGCCTGAAGACTGTCATGGTTCTGTGGGTCAGTAAAAGGGGATGACAACATTTTGCATTTGGACATTACAGTTTACACCCATTTTGTCATTTGATCTTCATCACATACTGTACCTCCCTAGAGATAAAGAGAGGAAGCTCAAGGAGGTTAAGAAACTTACCCAGGGTTCCACGACCAGTAAGTGGATAGCTGGGACCAGAACCCAAATCACACCTCAGGCTCAGGGCTCCTACCTCAGCACCACTTGATGCAAAGGGTCCTACCTATTACAAATGCTGTGGCAGACCAACTCTTGGTGTAACTCTTCTGGAGATCCTGTCCCTACCCCTCCAACCATTCAGAATGGCCTCCAGGTCTCCCCCTTGGGATTCCCTTATGGAGCTCCGGAAGTCTGACTCCCCTCTCCATACCATGCAGTCCATGAGGATGAATTTGAGATTATCTTCATTAAACGCTTGGTTGCCATTTCGGTCGTAGGCAGCCCAGATGTTACTGGCAATGGCCGCAGTCACCCGGGCGTCCGTGTCGCCATAACCCGAGTAGGCCAGGAGCGATCCCTCGTTATTCAGCAGCCTGGCAAGGGGCGGGGAGGGGCATGAACATATTCAAGAGGAAGAGCAAAACGTCCAGGTCCCTATCCCAACTCCCACCACTGGTGCTTCTAGGAAGTAAGGGTTGGGCTGTTTCCTGGAATATGCCCTAAGGACTGGCTTCCCTTTTGAAGAGGGGCCTTCGAAACCTGCTCCCCCAGCAGTTTCCTGCCTTTGCCGCAGCTTCCCTGCCTGGCAGTACTTCCCTGTTCCTCTTGCAGAGAGCCGTACACCGCCCCACTCTAGCGTTCGCCGCTCGGATTCTCCTTGCAAACTCACAGGGTGCTCTGGACGCCTCCAGTGTTGGCTTGGCTGAGCACCTGGGTCAAAGCCTTGGGACGCAGCATGCTTATAGCTCCTAACTCTGGGCTTGTGATCCCCAGAGGGGCCTCCTGCCGGTCTCTGCCAGCCGCTTCCGCAGACCAGCTGCTCGGCCCTGCCTTGCCACAGGAGTCCCAACGTACCGGCTCGGCTCTCGTAACTCCGACACAATCTAGCCTACGCGAAGGGGCGCTGGGAATTGTAGTTCCTTGGGACCTCGCGAGGCGCCATGGGAAATGTAGTTCGGCTTTCCAGTCAAACCACTGGGACTGAGAGGCAAAACAGCGGGAGTGAAAAGATAGTGACCGTATTGGAAGGGCTCTTAACTCCTTCAGAGAGGGGAAGTCATCATTTTTGCTAGTCACTTCACGATTCAATAGTGATTTTTTAAAAACTCTTATTTGTTAGGCACTCCTTTGGTTACTTTTCAAAGCACGCTATGCGCACTTCTGGGAGAAGAGGCGAGAATTGCTATTATTTCGAGGAAACCAAGGCTCAGAAAAACTACGTAGGTAAAACACCCTGGTTTAGACCATCTGGGCCCAGGTGGCACAGGTCCGCCCTCGAGATCTGCTATGGCCGCCCCTGTTGGGAAAACTAGCCTCGGTGGAAAGGCCCGGGGCCCGAGAGAGATGGGCCTCTCAGAAAGGCCGAATTGTCCCAGGGAGCGCAGACAGCGTGACGACACGGACTGTCCTTTGTCCCCGAGCAGAGTGAACCGCAGAGGTCGCCAGCCAGAGCCCGCCCACAACCCGCTGCGCGACCCGCCGACCCGACCTCGCTGCAGTGCCCCCCCAGGCCGCCCGGGGCGCTGTGGCCGCTGCTGGTCCTGAGCCGGAGGTGCAGCTTCGGGGAGTCGAGGGGAGAGAGAGGGTGTCGGAACGCCGAGCTGAGCCGAGGGGAGCCGAGCCAAGCCGAGCCGGGCCGGCCTGGCGGGCAGGGGGGAGGAGGAGGAGGAGCCGGGCGGGCTGGCGGGCGGCCGGGTGGCGGTGGCGGCATGGCGGAACCGAGTGGGGCCGAGGCGAGGCCCCCTATTCGGGTCACCGTCAAGACCCCCAAAGATAAGGAGGAAATTGTGATCTGCGATCGAGCCTCAGTCAAGGAGGTAGTGCGAGGGTAGGGGGGCCGAGCAACGCGGAGGAGGGTCGGCGGCGGGGGGAACCGGGACGGCCTGGGCTGTCCCGACAGGAGGCAGCAGGGGAGATGGGACAGGGGGCGTCCTTCGAGGAGAGATCTGCGGAGCGTGGCGCCTTTTGGGGCGCGGGTTTGACGGTGCGGCTAGGGCTGGGGGCGTGGTGGAGAGTGGGCAGAGTACGCAGTGCATCGGACGGAGGGAGGACCCTGGATTTGAGGCTAGTGTATGCCTCGGTTGCTGGTCGGGTTCGAGGCACCGAGGCAGAGAGTGCGGCCGGGGCAAGTTGCTAAACCGTGAGAACGGGCGGGGGCTGGCACCTACTGTGTGCCCCGAGAACGCCTAGCTTACTCCCGGGACTGACCTCTGCACAGGCGCTTCCTGCGCTTCCAAATCGAGGTGGTGATCTTGGGTCTCAGTGCTTCTGGAATTCAGAGTGCAGTAGGTGCTCAATAAAAATTTGTTGAATGAGTGAATGAGGGACTATTGGCTGTCTCTGTCACTGCTAGTGACTGCTCCAGAATTTCACATAGGCGGGGCTTAGGATAGGCCATCTGGTTGGAAGATAGGGATCTGGGAGCTGCCTCTGCTTAGCAAGTGCACTATTTTTTCTTAGAGTGTGTGTTTTGTTTTGTTTTGGTTTGTTTGGGAGCGCTGGTAGAATTTGGAGAGGTAGCTAGGCATAGTGATGCAAAGCTGTCATGCCAGCACTCAGGAGGTAATGACAGAAGGATCACGGAGAGTTCAAGGCCAGCCTGAGCTGCATATCAGCCAGCAGCTGAATTACATATTGGAACCTTGTCTCAACAAACAAACAAAACAAACAATTTGTAGAGATAGGATTTGGAGAATTTGCCAGGCTAGCCCTTAGTGTTATCGCTGCCCCACACCCCAATATAAAAATCACTAAATTCAAGAATTTAAAGTGTTCTGAGCAAGGCTGAATTTGAAAACAGCCCTGAGCGATACATGTCTGTTTAAGAATTGGGACTTTGGTAGTAAGACCTGAGTTCCAATCTCAGGACAAGCTACCTAACCTCTCTGATCCTCATTTGTTTGCTCATCTTTAAAATGCAGATAATGAATTAATGTACAAGACTGCTAATGCTCGAATAGTTTATGCTCAATAACTGGATGTATTTGTTGTGAGAAAGCTGGAAACCAAAAGAGAAAGAAACTGGGAGTCAAAGAAGAGCAGGCTGAAGGCAGACAGAGCCTAGGTCCACAGCTGCTGAGGAGCTGGGATGGAGCAGGCTGCCCAGGCAGCATCTGCATAGGAGACAGGGTGGAGGGACTGCAGCTGGAAAGGGGGTAGCAAAGGCTTTTTAGGGTGAGAGTCTAGGTTGGAGTTGAGAGAAGGACCTGTTGTGGTCTATATGCTTATGAAGGGGGCTGCTTTGGATTGTTTTGGAGCACAGACTGGGCAACTTATTGAGACCTTGTCTCAAAATAAAATGCAAAAGACAAGGTATGTGGCTCAGTGGCAGAGCACTTGCCTAGTACATATGAGACCCAGGTTTAATCCCAGCCCTCCACCCCATAGCCATTTATTGCAGCTGGCAGGAGGCAGCTGATAATGCAGAAAGGACTTCCTGTGAAGAATGAGAGAGGTCAGAGCAAGGAATACAAAGGCTCTAACAAAAGAGGCAGGCTCCTTGGTGGATGGAACCCAGGCAGCCTCTACAGTGATCTCTGCCTCTTGATCACAGTTCAAAGAGGAAATCTCCCGGAGGTTTAAGGCTCAGCAGGATCAGCTGGTCCTGATCTTCGCAGGCAAGATTCTCAAGGATGGAGACACACTGAACCAGCATGGGATCAAGGACGGGCTCACTGTCCATTTGGTCATCAAGACCCCTCAGAAGTAAGTTCAGGAGATAAGCAGACCAAGCTTTGAATTGGGACTTCCACCCAGAACTTTCTTACCCATTTCTCAGCTGTACTTAGGAAGCTGCTACCCAGGCCCAGACAGGTGGCTCCTGGTTGCTTACTGTCTGACCTCCTGGAAAGGGAACCTAAATTACTACTTGCATAATGCTCAAAGGCAAATGGTAGTAAAGATTTTCTCTCTGTCCCTAGGATAGCAGTAACTGCAGAGCTGAGAGTGCTCTGGTACCTTCCCTCTTCCTGTGCTCACTCCAACCAGGATTTTCCTTTCTCTATCCTCAGGACTCAAGATCCAGCTGCTACCACTGCTTCTTCTCCCTCCACTCCTGACCCTGCCTCAGCGCCCTCTACCACGCCTGCTTCACCTGCCACCCCTGCCCAGCCTTCCACCTCTGGCAGCACCTCTTCGGATGGTGGCAGTGGAAGTCGAAGGAGCAGTGGAGGAGGTCCCTCCCCTGGGGAGGGACCCCCCAATGCTACTGCATCTATACTCTGTAAGCCTGTAGAGAGGAAAGCATAAACCTGTATTGGACTGGGGGGTAGGAGAAAGCCAAGCAGAGGAGAAACATCGTCCCTGCACCTAGTCAGATGGAGATACGGGCTTGGACTTAGGGTTCCAGACATTGGTGCTTGAGCTAACCTGGGGAGAAAACCAGTCCATGAGGGCTTCTCAAAGGAGGGGGTATAGCTAAATGTTTGTAGTGAAGAGAGGAAGGGAACAGAATGTGGGAGCCTTGAGTGAGGAATTTGAAAGACCCTGGCTTAAACAATAAGCTCATGGAGAGTACTTGCTCATTCAGCAGGCTCCTGCTGATCACCTCCCTTTTGCTCAGGATCTGCCATCAGAGAGGTCTGCCACCTCTTTGCCCAAAGCAGGTCAAGGTTGGTGAAGGATTTTGCCTCAATTCCCCGTCAGGGAACCAACTGATAGAATTTTCGGCGCGGCTAAAAAGATAGAAATATGAGATAAAAGTGGCCTTTATTTTAAGAATGCAGAGAGAGAATCCATGACCTCCTGGGTCTGGCTTTCTCTCTGCCTGACACGTGATGTGGGGGCATACATATAGCTTAGGTTTGGGGTGGTATCTAAGGGGCATTACTGATGCATGGTAGCCCATTGGAAGTCTTTTCGCGCCACAGGTAAATTGCCTAGGGGCGGGGAAGGTGACCTCAAGATAGAGCCCCTTTCCCTTTAAAAAAAAAAAAAAAAAAAAATAGAGCCCCTTGGTTTCCACTGCCAGCCTCCCACTGCTGCAGCTTCCCATTCAAGGCAAAATCCTTTCAGTTGGGAGAGGAGGGGCATTATGAGAAGCATTTAGGGCCCAATGTGAAGACCTGAATTCACTGGCTCTGCCGGATGGGGGAGGGACTTCGGGGGTGGACTGTGACCTTGTGTCCTCCCTGCAGCTGGCTTTGGGGGCATCCTAGGGCTGGGCAGCCTGGGCCTTGGCTCTGCTAACTTCATGGAGCTGCAGCAGCAGATGCAGAGGCAGTTGATGTCCAACCCTGAGATGCTGTCACAGATCATGGAGAATCCCTTGGTCCAGGATATGATGTCCAACCCTGACCTCATGCGCCACATGATCATGGCCAATCCCCAGATGCAGCAGCTGATGGAGCGGAATCCAGAGATCAGCCACATGCTCAACAACCCTGAGCTCATGAGGCAGGTGAGTGCAGAGTAAGCCAGAGGAGTAGAGGACATCAGGTGCCCAGGCATGCCCTGCCCACTCTTTCCTATCTAGCTCTACACTGACTGGTTCATGTATTCATTAGCAGCCATAGTTTGAACACTTGAGGTTCAGTGGTGGAAGGATACAGGCATAGCTTTTCAGGAACTATTGGTCTTAGAAATGGGATAGGGTGACAGGCTATTATAGTAGAATGTGGTTACTATTGACTAATCACAGCATCCTAAGGATAATCAGAATTAGGAATGACTTCTGACCATACCTAGTGGTATAGAAGAGGCATTTTGGGGGAAGTATCATTAAATTGATTCCCAGTGAGGAAAGAGGTGCAAGAATATTCAGGGCCAGGGGCTGGGGATTTAGTTCAGCAGCATAAGTGCCTGCCTTGCAGGCACGTGGTCGTGAGTTCAATCCCCAGAACCAAATAAATAAAAAGAAAATCTGATTTAAAAAAAAAGAATATTCAGGGCCAAGGGACAGTAAAGACTAAAGTTTGGGAGTAAAAAATCATAGGATGGGGGCTGGGGATTTAGCTCAGCGGCATAAGCACCTGCCTTGCAAACAGGCGATCGTAAGTTCGATCCCCGGTACCAGAAAAAAGACAAAAAAAAAAAAAAAAAAGAAAGTCTTGATCTTTTGTATTGGTCAAGGTTCAGTTGGGTTGGGGTGTAGTGCAGTAATAGAGCACCTGCTTAGCATGTACCAGGCCCTGGTACAATCCTCTGTGATTAAAAAAGAAAGATCCAGTCAGGCAAAAACCTGGAAGTGGGAGTCGGGATGTCTTTAGCTTTGTTTTAGCCTGAACTTTTTCCTTTCCAATGAGTTACAGTATGGTCTTGGTCAGAGAAGCCAAATTGCCCTTTCTTTCTTTCTTTTTTTTTTTTTTTTTTTTGTATTTTTATCGGCACCAGGGATCGAACTCATGACTGCCTGTTTGCAAGGCAGGTGCTTATGCCGCTGAGCTAAATCCTCAGCCCCTGCCAATCTGCCCTTGAAACCTATCTCTACTGCTAACTGGCTGTATCTTGGGGCAAGAAGTCTGTGAATATCCCTGCGCCCATATTCTCATCTGCAAAATGGTTGCAAGAATACCTTTCTGGGGTGACTATTGTGGGATTACATCATTTGAATTCTGCAGATTGCTTAGCTGAGGGCCTATATGTAGTAGGTACTCAAGATATATTCATTTGCTCACTGCCGCCTCCCATCATATCTCTTTCTGCTCAGTTTTTGTGGGCTCTCTGATACTTTTGTGCCTCCCCTGATCTTGAGAGAGGGAAATTGCTCTCTCACTGCAAGCAGGAGCACATTGTCCTCCACTAGAAAAAGCCAATCAGAATCCCCATGAGGAGGCAGAGTGGGATGCAGATTACAGTATAGGAAGTAGTTACTGACAGACCCCCCTCGTCAGAGCCCCCCTGATTTGATGCTTCTTGCTAGGCTTCATCCCATCTCTCTGTCTTCACCAGACAATGGAGCTTGCTCGGAATCCAGCCATGATGCAAGAGATGATGCGGAACCAGGACCGCGCCCTGAGTAATCTCGAGAGCATCCCTGGGGGCTATAATGCCCTCCGCCGCATGTACACAGACATCCAGGAGCCCATGTTCAGTGCTGCAAGAGAACAGGTGGGCCAGGGACTGGGCAGTAGAAGGGGCTACCTGGGCTCAGGATTGCAAGGCAGGCAATCCTGGGGTGTTCTTTGCTCCCTTTCCTTCCCCAGAACCTTGAAGGATAGGCCTTGGTTTAGAGATGTTCCTCATAGCGCAGAGCCAGGGGTAGTCCCATTTGTGGACCAAGGGCATAATGTGGTGGAAGTCCTGAGGAAAGTGGTTGAGGTATAATGCCTGAGGGCCTTGACATTTTGCTTATAAACTTCTTTCATGAAGTGCTGAAAAGGTATGAGGCAGACCCGGGATCAAATGCCAGCCCTAGTACAGTGTATCTCAAGTGTGGTCCATGGGTCACCAGTGTCCGAATCACCTTGTGAGCTCAATAATAGTAAGATTCTTGGTCCCTGGCTTTGGGCTACACTTTGAATCAATCTCGGGTTATGACTCAGGATTATATACTTGAAAAAATGCTTTATTACTTAATTTCAAGTATATTAAAAAGTATAAATAAAAATAGAGCATTCACAAAAAAAGAGCATCTCTCGTATCCATGTTTCCACGTGGAGTCTTACTGACTTTTAAAAACTTAACTGTACACTAAACACATTGTGTATCTATTTAAGTCTCAAAATTCAGAAGTTACACAAAGTAAAAGGAGTATTAAAAAGTATGGGAAGTTGTCTAAGCTTTAAAGAAAAAAGGAGTTTAAAAGGGATTTTTCTATTTCTGTCTGCCACCCTCTCCTTTTGTACCTTCACAGCCACTAATATTGTTAGTACCTTGTATATTTTCCTACACATACATAATATCTGCAATAAATCATATAGGTAGATCACATACCCTCCTCAATCATATTCCTCTCATTCCTTCCTCAGAAGTAGGTACTAGCCTGAGGTTGGTATCCCAAGCTGGCCTTGAACTCAAAGCAGTCCTTCTGCCTCAGCCTCCCCAGTGCTGGGGTTACAGGTGTGTGCCAACATGTCCAGTTTTCTGATTTTTTTATATCACCTTTTTATGTATCTATAAACCGTCTGTAGTATTGTTTTACATATTTTAGACCTTGTAGAAGTGGTATCATGCTGTTCATATCACTTTAATTTGGGCTCTTTTTGAAACATTTTATTGAGTAATTTAGCTACAGAAAAGTACAAATATGCAAGGTAGCACATATGTCTATAATTCTAGCTATTCAAGTGACCAAGGCAGGAGGATTGCAGGTTCAAGGCCAGCAATCTAGCAAGACTCTGTCTTAAAATAACAAGTCTGGGGACATATCTTAGCACTCCCTAGGTTCAATCTCTAGTACTAATTATTTGAGCAGGTTATAGTGTTACATCCCTATAATGCCAGTGGTTGAGAGGCTGAGGCAGAATTGCTAAAGATTCAACGTCAGCTTGGACTGCATAGAGTTAAGTTGAACCTGAAATATGTAATGAGATCCTGTCTCAAAAAATCAAAAACATTACTGGGGATTTAGCTCAGCCGCATAAGCGCCTGCTTTGCAAGCACATGGTCATGAGTTCGATCCCTGGTACTGATAAAAAAAAAAAAACATTGATGGGCATGGTGGGCATACCTGTAATCCCAGCACTTGGGAGGCTGAAGCAGGAGGATTGCTGTGAATTTGAGGCCAACCTGGGTTACATAAGTGAGTTTAAAGCCAACCAGAACTATATAGTGAGACCTTGTCACCTAAACGAATGAAACAAAAAAAGTAATCTTAAAAAATAAAAAGGGGATGGGGATATAGCTCAGTGTGAGGCTCTGGGTTCATTCTCCAATACCACAAAAGAGAATAAAAGAGAGAGAGAGAGAAGAAAAGTACATATAACAATCAGTGTGTAGTGTTTTTTTTTTTTAATCAGTGTGTAGTTTGATAATTTTTTTTTTTTTTTTTTGGCTTTTTCCTTTTTTTTTATCGGCACGAGGGATCGAACTCACGACTGCCTGCTTGCAAGGCAGGTGCTTATGCCACTGAGCTAAATCCGCAGCCCCTGTTTGATAAATTTTTACCATTAGTCAGGACCCAGGTGTGAGGGCAGGACCTCACTTTACTTATTTACTGAGGAGAGCGTGGGAACCACGCTCTTGAGTGGCCTATGAGGTCCGCAGAACACTTGGTTTTGCTGTTTCTGTCCTACCCCAAGTTTCTCAGATGAGTATATTTACTGACCCTCAGTTCCCTGATTTTTGTATCCCTACAATGATTTTGTATTGTCTTAGTCTTGGTATCTAGTAATGTAAAATTCCTCGCTGTATTCTTCAAAACCACCTTGGTTATTCTTTTCTTTCTTTCTTTTTTTTTTTTTTTTTTTTGTACCATGTACTCAGGACCTCATGCTTGTTGGCCATCATCCTGGTTATTATTGACATTGCTCTTTGAAATTTCATAAACTACTTTAGGAGTCAACTATTAATTTTTAAGGGAATTTGTAAATTTTTCCTTAAGTAATTGAAAAGCTGGCTTTTTGTATTTTGGTTTTTTTGATCAAACTCCTGGATATACCTGGTTAAAAAAAATCAAATAGTTTTGTTTGTTTGTTTTGGGTTTTCTTTAGTATTAGGGAATCAAACTCATGATTTCGTACTTACCTGACAGGCACTTGTGCTGCTGAGCTAAACCCCTGGCCCAAAAATCAAATAGTTGGAAAGAGTATAATGTACACTCTATCAGATTCTGACACAAAGTCAAGGCTGAGAATCACTGGTCTTCTAAAAGAATACAGCACTTTGCATCCACAAACCTGTGTTACATGCTGCTCCCTCATTTTCTTTTCATGGTGTATTTTTGCTTCGTTCTGTTTTTTGAAACAGCGTCTCACTATGCAATTCAGGCCAGCTTTGTGCTCATTTTGTCACCAGGCTGGTCTCAAATTCCTGCCTCAGCCACCCAAGTGCTGGGATTATAGGAGTGCGCCACCATGCCTGGCTCACTGCTCCCCCACATTTTAGTGGTGTGATTTGATGAACTGTTCTCTCTGGTCTTAGCTTCCTCATTTTAAAAGTTCCATATATTATAAGTACCTGGCTAACTTAGTCAATAGAGCATGAAACTCTTAAAAGTGGATGTATTTCTGGGCATGATGGCACACATGTAATCCTAGCACTCTAAAAGCTGAGGCCAGAGGAACACCTCAAGTTCAAGGCCAGCCTGAGCTGCATACACGACCCTGTCTCAAAAAAAAAAAAAAAAAAAAAAAAGTGGATGTATTATAGCATCGGCTCTTAAGTATTTGGTCTCTGAACCCACTCTTTTTTTTTTTTTTTTTCTGTCTTCTTTGAGATGGGGGTCTCACTATACAGTTCAGCTGGCCTTGAGCTCACTTTGTAGCCCAGGCTGATCTCGAACTCGAAAGGATCCTCCCACCTCAGCCTCCCGAGTGCTGGGATTACAGGCGAGAGCTACCACACCCAGCTATTCTGAACCTACTCTTAAAAGTTATGAGGAGCCAAAAAAAAAAAAAAAAAGAAAGAAAGAAAAAGAAAAAAGAAAGCTACTAAATACTGTAACTTTTGGTTTTTTTGGTACCAGAGATCAGAGTCAGAACCTCACGCTTGCCAAGCAGGTGCTTGTGCCACTGCCTAATCTGGCTAAATCTGTGGCCCCTATAATTTTTGTTTTTATAGGTTAATCTATATCAGTACTCACTGCCAGAAATTAAAACTGATAATATTTTAAAATATGTAACTCCTTTAAAAATAACAATTCATGACACATTACCATAAATAACATTCTTTTGAAAAATAACTTTATTTTCTAAAACAAAGCTTTAGAGGAAAGCATGGTCTTGTTTTACATTTTTGCAAATCTCCTTAAAAGTCTGGCTTATCGTTAAGACAGCTAGCTCCTCATATCTGCGTTCATTCAATCGAATGTCATGTTATGAAAACCATTTTAAACTTTGCAGGGCATCCTAAGATCATGCTTTGAGAACTAGTGTATTAGAGGGATGCTATAAGAATTAGAGTAAATGTGTCAGGCACATAGTAGGTACTCAGTAAGTGGCAGCTGCCCTCACTATGGACATTTCAAGAAAAGTTCTTAGGGTGTGCCTGGAAGAGCAAAGCAATACTCAGAACTAGGTAGAGTAAGGTGCCAGACAGGTTACTACAACAGGAAACTTAAAGTAGGGACAAAGATGAAACCATAGTACATGAACCCTGGCCTGTGAGCCCTGTTACCTAAACTGGTGTCTGGTATAGGCGGGGAAGGAGAGAAGAGGAATCACAGCTTAGAGTGGGGAAGTCCTTGGTTAGTTGCGTCCCCATGACCCACTGTGTATAATAGAAGCCTGGATAGGAGTCCTGTGGTGGGGAAGAGCTAAATGTGCTAGGCCACCTCCTACCTGCCAGAGGCCTGAGAAGTCAGAGACAGACAGAGATGCTGAGATGCACAGCTCTAGAGCCTCAGAAAGCTGAGGGAGGGAGATGGGGTCTAGGGCCAGACAGAACCCTGTTTGGGATGCTGAAGCTTCAGAGGGAAGAGGCTCTGTGTTGCCTTTGAGCTATGTACTGAAAGTTAGACCCTAAACTAGAAAAGAGAAATGCTAGAGAACACAGTAGGGGAGCCTATCCTGGTTTGCCTGGTGGGGAACCAAAGGGTATGGGCCTGGAGCAGCCAGTAGGGGTAAGGGGAGGCTACCCAGAAGAGGCAAAAGAGGAACCCGAGAGAGGGCTGCACTGCAGGTGCCTGTGGTATGCCTGGATGGACAGAGGATGGCAGGCAAGGGACCTGGGTGTGAGGAAAGGGATTCCAGGGAGTTAGAATTGGGCCAAGCTGGGAAGGCTGGGAGCTGGAAGCAGATGTGGGTCAGTCAGTCAAGCCAGCACACACTTATGGAGCACATACTAGCTGCGTAGTTGAGGGTACAAAAGTAAATCCAACATTGTCTGCCCCTGGAGAGCTACTGGAAAAGCTCCTGTAAAGCCCTATGGGCCACAGAGTTTAGAGCTCTAGCTTTTAGAGCATATAAAGGAAAAGGGAGGTTTCCAGTTTTCTAAGGGTTTCTTTATCTTGTCATTAGCACCAGACATACTGTAGGAAAGGGTGGAACTGTCCCTTGGAGGTGGGAACTGAACTTTGGATGTTCTAGGTTTTAGATCTCTCCACCTTTCATGGGGTTAGGGTTAGGGTTAGGGTTAGGTGAGAGGAAGGCAAGGGCAGAATTGTCTCAATCTTTAACCCAAAATTTTTTCTTCCTCTCAGTTTGGCAACAATCCCTTCTCTTCCCTGGCGGGGAACTCCGACAGCTCATCCTCCCAGCCTCTGCGGACTGAGAATCGAGAGCCCCTCCCTAACCCCTGGAGCCCCTCGCCCCCCACCTCCCAGGGCCCTGGATCTGGTAGGGAGGGCACCGGAGGATCGGGGACCAGCCAGGTGCACCCCACAGTCTCAAATCCCTTTGGGATCAATGCGGCTAGCCTGGGGTCAGGTATGTTCTAGAGTGTAAGGAGCTTTTTAATTGGGTTACCAGGGCAGACCTTTCTGCCCCATAACTGGATGGGGTTCACGCTGATCTGGAAGAGATGAGACTGTATTAAAGCTACAGAGGGAAGCAGAGTGTGGTGGCATACGCCTATAATCCCAGCATTAAGGAGGCTGATGCAGGAGGATCAACAGTTTCAAACCAGCCTTAGCTATGTAATGAGTTCAAGGCCAACCTAGACTATATAGCGAGATCCTGTCTCAAAAATCAAACAGCTACAGAGAGGACTCAGCAGCTTGTGTACAGGCCACCCCCTTAAGGGTCTAAGACTTGGTTCTAGCCCTGTCCTCATGTCCCTGTGTCCCTGGGAGTGAGCGGAGTATTGGCTCATGAATTAACTAGTCCCCACTTCCTTGAGTACTTTTGATGTAAATGGGTCAGGCTAGGAGGCAGTGCTGAGAGGTGGGGGTGATGGGAGAGGAATCAGGGCAGGCCTAGGGACAAGCAGATGTGAGACTGGAGGAAAGGATGTGCCTGGTTGCCATATACAGAATTGTGTGTTGTACACTCTACAAGCTAAGGTGATATCCAGTTTATCTGGACTATGATTGTACATGTGACCCTGGGGAAATCTTTAGTAGATGCCTTGATTTTTCCTGGAGGGTATGGCAATTAGGGAAGTTCTTTGTCTTTGTGTGGTTTAATTACCTTATTTATAAAATAAGGACTGGATCTTGATCCATGGTTTTAAAATTGTGTTTCTAAGTCTTGGGTGGGCCTTGATGTCCTTGTCTTCAGGATGAAAAAAAGACTGAATGGGAGAGGCCCCAGGCCCCAGTATAAACAAACCAGATCACTGACACACTTGGTTTCTAAGTGAGATTTGACTTGAGAAAGGATCTCTGCTTCTAAGACAGGTTTGAAAGCCATTAATCTAAGTAACATGTGGCCAGTCCTTCCCCACTCAGACACAATCAGAGCTTGTGGCAGGAGCAATCCAGAAGGGCAGAAGTCAAACCCAATTTCCAGCTGTCTTGTCCTTAGAATCAATGGGAAAGATCCAGGCCAAAACTGGGCAAGCTGACCTAGGATTCAGGGGAACCTGGGGCCTATGCCACAGGCCTCGGGTACTTGTTTAACTTCTCGTTCAGACCTGTGTAATCACTGTGTCTGCAGTGGGATGTACTGAAGTAGGGTGTCTCTATCTGGACCCTTCTCTCCTGTATTGTGTGTTTCCCCCACACACACTAGGGATGTTCAACAGCCCAGAAATGCAGGCACTCTTGCAGCAGATTTCTGAGAACCCCCAGCTCATGCAGAATGTGATCTCAGCCCCCTACATGCGCAGCATGATGCAGACGCTGGCCCAGAACCCTGACTTTGCTGCTCAGGTATTTAGCTGGCACAGGGAAGTATTGCTGGGGAGGGAGCTCGGTGTGGGGGGCAGCCACTTATGGTCAAATAGTTCTAGAGCCAGACTGCCTGGGTCTGTATCCTAAGCTCTGTTACTTCCCAGCTGGGTAAGCTGAGCAATTATTTAACTTCCCAGGTTCATTATCCACAAAATGGTACTAGCATTAGTTCCTGCTCCATCGAGTTGTGAGAATTAAAGGAGTTAATATGTGTCAAACGTTTAGAATGTGGGCTGGGCTGGGGATATAGCTCAGTGGTAGAGCTCTTGCCTTGTGTGCATAAGGCCCTGGGTTTGATCCCCCATACCACCACCAAAAAAAAAAAAAAAAAAAAAAAAAAAATTTAGAGCACACAGTAAGCACCATATACTTAAATCAGACCTGGGCCAGACAGGTCTGTCCTGATTCCTGACTATTCATTGCTCAGATCATGCTCCATTTCCTCTCACTGTCCCACACTGATCTTCAGTTTTTTTGAGACCCTCGGAAACTCTGGCCAGACTTCCAACAGTGGTGGGGTGTCAAGGTTTCTGAGGTTGTAGGAGAATTCTTGGATTGGGAAGGCCCCCTTCTCCTACCTTTCATCCTGCAGATGATGGTGAATGTGCCACTCTTCGCGGGGAACCCCCAACTGCAGGAGCAGCTCCGCCTGCAGCTCCCCGTCTTCCTGCAGCAGGTGAGGGAGAAACTTGCAGGATGAGGGTGGATGGCAAGAGCTGGACCAGAAGACCTAGTGGGGAGATGTTAAAGTAGGGTACAGAGCTTGGCTCTGGACTCAGCTTTCAGGCTGCCTCTTTCCTGCCACCTCCTGTCACCTTTCTTTGCTTGTTTCCCAGATGCAGAACCCGGAGTCACTGTCTATCCTTACCAATCCCCGTGCCATGCAAGCATTACTGCAGATCCAGCAGGGACTACAGACCTTGCAGACTGAGGCCCCTGGGCTGGTACCCAGGTGAGAGGGCAGATGGGCAACATGGCTCTAGTTGTCATTCTTTTTCATCCTTTCTGCCTTCTTCTGAACAGCCCTGGTGTCTCTGCTCTTCCTTTTGGATCTCATATTCTCATTTCTTTCTTGGATGCCATCTCCTATCTGTTGGTGTCTCCTGCCTGCAGTCTTGGCTCCTTTGGGATGCCCCGGACTCCAGCAGCTTCGGCAGGTAGCAACTCTGGGTCTACAACTGAGGCCCCCACCTCGTCGCCAGGCACACCAGCCACATCTCCTCCCACAGGGGCGTCCAATGCCCAGCAGCAGCTCATGCAGCAGATGATCCAGCTTTTGGCTGGAAGTGGAAACTCACAGGTACATGGGGTAGGTGGCAGGGGTTGGTGCTTGGGACTACTACGTCCATTCTGCAGCATCAAGAGTAGCAGAAGGGGCTGGGGATTTAGCTCAGCGGCATAAGCGCCTGCCTTGCAAGTGCAGTCGTGAGTTCAATCCTCGGTACCAATTAAAAAAAAAAAATAGACAAGAGTAGCAGTAGAGGAGGGCCAGCAAACAGGATTTACAGTTAGCTAGACCTGGTCACCTGCTAGCCTTTGCTTTTCATGGCTGTGAGAATAGTAGTGGCACTTATCAGGTGCTGTGTGTTTTATGTATGAGAGCCCCTTTCCTTTATTTCTTATGGGAAAGCCATTATGATGATTGTCTCATAATGATGATCATTATGATGATTTCCCTGGATGGGGAAAACTGAGGCCCTGAAAGGTTTAGTGGCTTGCTCAGTTACATGTCTAGGAGATAATGGGACCAACATTCAAACCAGAGCATTCTGGTTCCAGAATTTACACTTTACTGTGTTGTTATCACTTTATTTATTTTTGTGGTACTAGGAATTGAAGCCAGTCCTTGTGCATGCTCAGCTCATCTTATCCCATTGAGACATACCCCCAACTTGTGCAGAGAATTCTTTTGATGATTAAAGCAGTGTCCATCTCAGAGACTGAGGAGGATGGGTCTGGAAAGTGAAGTGGCTGGTGTCCTGGATCATAAAGTCAAGGCCAGGGGTGGAGATGAACTAGGGTGAGGCTCTTTGCCTTTCTGTGACCTCTATCAACAAGAGATGTATGTGTGTTCCAAGTTCTACAAGGCAGTAGGAGGGTTGGGCCAGGCACTCTCCAAGGTCGGGCTTGGTGTCAGCTCTGGACGATATTGAGAAACATCAGGGAGCAGTAGAGTGGGTCAGGGACCTGGGGCCAAGCCAGTCTGTCCTTCCTCTGGATCACACTTGTTTCCGACTAGTGGCTGGTGGACATTGGTCACTGAGCTCCTAGCTCTGAGTCTTTTGTCCAAGATCTCAGAAAGTATTTCTCAGATGTCCTCTGGGAAAATGCTTTTCTAGGAGATGGTTATGGGAATGTCAAGAATGAAAACCTTCTGATTAACAAACAATTACTTAGTCAAATGATATTAAATGGATTCTTTCTTTCCTTGGACCCTTCTCTGACCTGTAATATGACTGTATGTAATGACCATCAGAAGAGGGTATGTTGAACATGGATTTTTTTTTTGAGACAAGGCTTTACATGTAGTTCAGGCTAGCCTTCAACTCAGTATGTATCCCAGGCTGGCCTTGAAGTTGAAGCAATTCTCCTCATCTGAGGGCTTGAAGTCGGGGGAGGGTGAGAGAAGATCAACACATGCCATGTACAGGTACAAAATCCCTATGATGAATGTGATCATTATGTATACCCAAAATGTACCAATCAACTAACTAATTAAAAATTCTACCTCAGCTTTTCCAGTGCTGGGATTTCAAGTGTGCACCATCACACCTACTGAACATGCATTGTATTTATCACAGAGCATTTGACTTCTGAGCACCTGTTAGCTTTAGAATATTCATGGGAGGACTGGGGATTTAGCTTAGTGGCTCAGTGCCTGCCTGGTGAGTGTGAGGTCCTGAGTTTGATTCCTAGTACCCAAAAAACAAACAAACAAACAAACAAACAAACAAAAAAAAAAAAAAAAATATATATATATATATATATTCAGGCCAGGGATAAAGCTCAGTGGTTCACATGCCTGCCTGGCAAATACAAGGTCCTGAGTTCAATTCCTGGTACCAAAAAGAAAAAAAATACTTACCAGCCTCATATTATTGTGAGAAGTAAACCTTTCAGCCAGGAATTTGGCTCAGTGACACAGTACTTGCCTGGCAAACACAAGGTCCTTAGTTTAATTGCCTGTACCAAAAAAAAAGAGAGAGAGAGAGAAAATCTAGAATGGTCATGGAAAGTAAGAGTATAAGCTGATGCAAACCTGTCGTATACTTAGAAATATTTATTTATTTAGACTGGGTCTTGTTATATAGTTCAGCCTGGCCTTGAACTCACTATGTAGCCCAGACTGGCCTCAGACTTGCAGTGATCATTCTGCTTTAGCCTGCTAAGTGCTGGAATCACAGATGTGCACTACCATGCCCAGATACACACTTTAAATTTTTAAGAAAGATATCCATAGCCGGGGGTGGTGGCTCACGCCTGTAATCTCAGCACGCCAGAGGCTGAGGCAAGAAGATCGTTGCAAGTTCAAGACCAGCCTGGGCTACAAAGTGAGTTCATTGCTAGCCTGAGCTGCATAGAGACCCTGTCTCAAAAAGACAAAAAAAAAAAAAAGAAAGATATCCATTGCTTTTTTTTTTTTAAAACAGGGAATCAAACCTCAGGCCCTGAACATGTTAGGCAAGTTCTCTGCCACTAAGGCACATCCTCATCCCATATCTGCCTTATGTTAGTACAGTTATTTAGTGACCTGTAACATGGGCTCTCTGACCCTTTGCAGCTCTACTTCCCCACCCCAGTGATTGACTGAGGATGTTAGAGACTACTGCTTGCTCTCCCACTTGTTCACTCTCTCTCTTTTTTTTTCCTCCAGTGGTGGGGATTGAATCCAAGGTTTTTGAGTTACATCCCCAGCCCCTTTTTAAAATTTCTTTTTTGGGGGCTGGGGATTTAGCTCAGCAGCACAAGTGCCTGCCTTGTAAGCAGGCAGTTGTGAGTTCGATTCCTGGTACCGATAAAAAAAAAAGAAATTTCTTTTTTGAATTTTGAGATAGGATCTAGCCGAGTTGTGAAGTTCTTTTTTTTTTTTTTTTTTTTGTATTTTTACTGGTACCAGGGATGGAACTCACGACCACACGCTTACAAGGCAGGCGCTTATACCGCTGAAATCCCCAGCACCTGAAGTTCTTTTTCTTTTTCTTTTTTAATTTTTTTTTTGTCTTTTTCGTTTTTATCGGTACCAGGGATCGAACTCACGACTGCCTGCTTGCAAGGCAGGTGCTTATGCCGCTAAGCTAAATCCCTAGCCCCCGTTTTTTGTCTTTTTCTATTGGTACCGGGGATCGAACTCACGATCACACACTTGCAAGGCAGGTATTAATGCCGCTGAGCTAAATCCCCAGCCCCAAGTTGTGAAATTCTGCTAGCTTGACTTGAACTTGCAGTCCTCTTGCTTCAGTCTCTTAGAATGCTGAAATTGTATGGATTCACTCCCATATCCAGCTTTTATTTTTTTTTTTTTTCTCCCCAGTACTAGAGATTGAACTCCAAGCCTTCACACAGCTGCATCCCCATCCTTTTCTTATCTCTTAATTCAATACAGTCTCACTAAGTTGCCCCTGGGTTTGAACTCTCAATCCTCCTGCCTCAGCTTCCTGGAGGCCTGTGATTACAGGTGTATATCACCATGCCCAGCTTCTTGTCATACAAACCCTCAGGTTCAGATAGTTCCTCCGCATTGTATCCTGTACCTACTTTATAATTCCTGTCCCCTCCAGGTGCAGACACCAGAAATAAGATTTCAGCAGCAACTGGAACAGCTCAACTCCATGGGATTCATCAATCGTGAGGCCAACCTGCAAGCCCTAATTGCTACAGGAGGGGACATCAACGCAGCTATCGAGAGACTTCTGGGCTCCCAGCTCTCCTAATCCCTTGGCCCATGCCTCCTGCCTCTCCTTCAACTCAGTGCCAGCCTTTGGTGCCTCTGTCAGCCCCTGCCTCTGCAGCTTGTCCCTCTGCCTTCTTGCTTGTCCTCTCCAAACAGCAGGGTGATTTTAGAGGCACAGGTTCCAGGCTCTGTAGCTCTGAGAATTTGTTTTACTGCTGTCTTTTGACAGAATCTTCTCTCCTGGTCCTCTTTGAGCAGAGCCCTTCACACAGTTTACAGCTCTGTTGATTGGCCCACTTCCTTGCCACAGTCACTTTTTGAAGCCTTCAAACTTCTCAGTGGGACTGCAGTGTTGAAGGAGGATGCAGCCGTCTGAGTGGAACAGTCTTCCATCAATACCACCAGGGCTTAGCTTGTCTCACATTGACTTTGGTAGCTCTCTTCTTGCTGCTTCCCCTCCCCATCCCACCCTAACCAGGCTAGAATTTCACATGCTGAAGGTGAGGGACAGATGATCCAGGCTTTGGTTTTTTCCCAACTTTTTTTCTGGTTACTTCATCTACCACTTTCTTACATTCTCTGTGGGGACTTTTCAGGGAACAGCAGGAGATACCTGTTCCCTTGTACTGGTGTGGAGCTGAAACTTAGCTCTGGACAGGAGTCAACAGGCCTGGTACCAGCTTAGTGTAGACTCCTGTGCTTGAGGAGGAATTGGAATTTCTTGGGTGAAGAGAATGGGCAAGAGCAAGTTGGATATGTAATTGACAGCTGAAGCATGGAAGTGCTCGTAGACCTTTTAGTCAGGAGCATTCAGAGTGGAATAAGATCCTGGTAGAAGTAGGATTAAAGAAGGGGCTCCATGAAGCTAAGCAGTTTGAACTACGAGCTCCATTTTCTCAGACACACATGCACACACACGCACAGATTTCCATGAACCCAGGACCTATTTGTACTTGGCACAGTCATTTCTACTTCCTTCAGAACAATGAAGGGGATAGAGATCTGTCCCAACAGTGGGGTAGCATGCGTCTGGGTGTGTGTTAGGGTAGGTTATTTGCTGATTTCTGGGCTGTCACCAGAGACAAGTAGGTCACAGGGCCAGTCTAGTGCGGGAGTAGTTCATCTAGAAGAGCTAGGTTCCCTGAACTTTTAGGTGCTGGGTCACAGACAGTGTGGATACCTTCTGAAGCTATCAGCCACATGTGACTGGCCCCTTCCTGTCACTACTTTGGAGAATAGCAGAGGAATTTCTCCCTCTAGAGTCCTTGGCCTTTCAGTTGTTTACTGTTTCTTTCCAGGCCAGAATGTGTTTTTGTTTAGGTTTTTGTGGTGCTGGGGATTGAACCCAAGGTTTCATGCATGCTAGGCAAGTGCTGGACCACTAAACTACATCCTCAGCACAGAGTTCTTTTTGAGGAAGGAGAGGGGAGGGTGGCAGTGATGCCTTTAATCTGGAACTGGACATTGCTCTGTTTGGGCACAAGGATGCTCTTTATCACCTCCACCTGGGTGTGGAGGACCCCCTGGCTGATGATAGGGAGGAGGCAAGAGGAACCGAATTCCACTCTAAAATGGGGATGGGTCCCAAGCAGTTCAGAGATGTTTACCCTTTGCCTCCTGACCTCCCCAACACCCTCACTGGCCTTTGTAAATAAATGGTGTGATCTTTGTTGTGAGAGTGTGTTGGTGTTTGTTTTCTAAGGATGAGGAGGCTAATTAAAGGCAATATCTTAGTTTTACAGAGCAGAAGGTAGGACCTTAAACTTGAAGCTGGATTTGGTTATCACAGGTGTCAAAGACCTTTGAAGATTAAAGAGTAACTGATCATTAAAGTGTGGTTAATACATGGTTTAAGGATACATGGTTTAAGGATAAGGAGATATCACATGGGTGTGATATCACATGGCTTTAATCCTAGCATTTGGGAGGCTGAGGCAGGAGGATCAACCACAAGTTCTGGATCAGCCTGGGCTACCTGATGAGTTCAAGGCCATCCTGAACTACATGCCAAGACCTTATCTTAAAAATAAAAATAAATTAAAATAGATAAAAAATTAAAAGGACTGGAGGCATAGCTTAGTGGCAAGTGTGAATGTACTTACTACCACTAAGTAGGACACTTCATGGTTAAAATGGCACATTTTATGTAATATGTATTTTACCACAATCAATGTACAAAGAACAAGGACTGCCCTATTACTCTACCAGCCCTGATTCAGAATGCTGCTTGGAAACGCATGGCTTCTGTTAATCCATCTGCCCTCACACAGTGCCCTTCCAGCTAGCTCCTGTGCTCCAAGGACCTTCGCTTTTTGTCAGCAAGATGGCATCTCTAGGTGCAACCACCCATCAAGCAACTTGCCACCTCCTTTTCAGATTAGTCACACACTACACTATTTGCAGTCTTAGTGCAAATCCCAAAGAAGAGATTAGGCAGAGGCAGCAGAGACTGCTTCTCCCTTCCCCTCCCAACCCTAAGAATAGCAGGAGACAGTCACTAGAATCCCTAGCCCTGAGCAAGTGACCCCCCCTGGGCTCCTGTAGGAAAACAGCTTCCAGAAGGGAGACTCGAAGCCAAGTTGTGTCTGCACCTACGCTGTACCTAGGACATTCCGATCCAGTGGTATTTGTCAGGGTACCAAGGATGAAACTCTCCTGGTTTTAGAGAAAGAAAAAGCAGTTTGAGTGAACCCCAAGTTTACTAGGCAGACTTGCTTGGCCTTAGGTTACTTTGATGGACCATATTTCCCATCAACTATGCTGAGTATAGATGTCATATTTTGCTTTAACTCTGTTACTGCCTTCTAAAACATTCCAAGTCCTGTGCCACCCAAAGCACTATTCCTTTTTTCTTCCTTTTTTTTTTATACTGGGGATCAAACTTACAACCTCATGCTCACCAGGCAAGCACCTGAGCTGCTGAATTAAACCTCTAGCTCTTAGAGCACTATTCCTGAGGCAGCATTAATTGCTGGGGCAGGATAGCCCCAGGGTAGCCCTGAACTCACTATGTAGCCCCGCCTGGCCTCAAATTCACAGCAGTTCTCCTGCCTCAGCCCCCAAGTAATGGAATTACAGGTGTGAATGTCACTGGCTAGTACTAATTGCTGTTTTAGAGGACATTACAATAAAAACACAGAACTTTTGCTCAGTAAAAAGACACATAAGAAAATGAGAAAAGAAAACAGATGGGAAACTACAAGCTAACCTTGGTGAGATTTCTTAGAATGGTGTTAAGACAATCGGTCTTGGCCAACAGCTTAATCTTCCAAGTCAAGTGGCCCATCTTCTTTTCTTTTGTTCACTGGAGGTTAAACCCAGGGCCTTTGCGCTGAGCTGTATTCCCAGACTCTTATTCTCTGAGACAGTGTCTTCCAAAATTGCCCAGACAGGACCTGAACTTTTGATCTTCCTGCCTCAGCTTCAGAGTGCTCAGATGTATGCTCAGATGTGTGTTCAGGTGTATGACACCATGCCTGGGTAAGTGGCATATTTTATGCTTCTGTGTTTACTCAGAAACTAGTATGGAGCTTATGACAGTACATAATTAATAAAGATTTTTCCTTGAGTTTTAATGAGTTCCATCAATCAAAGGTCTGAAAAGGAAACTGCGCAAGAGGGAAAGTCCTCCTTTGCCTGAAGCAGGAGAGGGAGACCACAAGGAAGTGTCTTAATCACCAGACAGAAGAATTGGATTTAAATCCACTGACAATGGGAAACCCCTAAATTATTGCTGTTACTATTTACGTATTTATTTATATAAGGCAGGGTCTTGCTATATAGGTCCAGGCTGGCTTTGTTACTATTTTTTTGTCTTTTTGAGACAGGGTCTCACTGTGCAGGCCAGCCTGACCTTAAACTATGTACTCCAGGTTGACCTCAAACTCCTGCCTCAGCTTCCTGATTGCTGGCGCTACAGGCATACATCACCAAGCCTGGTCCCAGGCTGGCTTTGAACATACTATGTAGCCCAAGTTGACCTCAAACTTGGGGCTTCAAACTCTCGAGTGCTGGAATTACAGGTGTGTGTCACCATGCCCAGCTAACACAGCATTTCAGAGAAGCCACACTCACAGGTGTGAATTAGGAGCAGACTGACAGTTGTGTGTAGAGAAGTTATTATTCATTACAAGAGCATCTCATGTGTTGAGGCATGACCTTAAGCCATGAAAATGGACAATCTGTCCTCAAGAAGCTCCACTCTGGGCATGGTGGTGTGTGCCTGTAATCCAAATATTCTTGGAATTCATGAGGCTCAGGCAGAAGGATTACAAGTTTAAGACCAGCATGGGCTACACAGTGAGTTCAAGATTAGCCTAGACTATAACAAAACTTGTCTCAAGCAAACAAAGAAATGGAGAAGCTCAAGTTTGGGTTGTGGTGAATGGGAAGACAGATACTCAAATATGGGTAATGTATACTACTTCACAAGAAGGTAAGCCCCTCCTCCAAAGTAGAAATTGTATGTCTTCTGTTCATCAGTGTATTCCCAAGTACCTAGAGCAGTGCCAAGCAAAAAGTAGGTGCTCAATAAATGTATACTGAATGAAAGAATGCTAGCTGGGAGATACAGAATAATACTAACATTTACTATTTACTGAATACATACATCTGTAGGTACTCTCCTGAGTTTTGTTTTTGAGCCAGGGTCTCACCATGTTGCACAGGTTGGCCTCAAATTCCTGGGCTCAAGTGATCCTCTGCCCTCAGCCAACTCCATAGCTGGAGCTACGCACAAGTGACATCTCACTTGGCCCAGAGTTTTTTTTTGTTTGTTTGTTTGTTTTGTTTTTTCTTTTTTAATCATTGGTACCAGGGATCGAACTCACGACCGCCTGCTTGCAAGGCAGGTGCTTATGCCACTGAGCTAAATCCCCAGCCCCGTTGGCCCAGAGTTTTATAGATGGAATCTTATTTGACCCCCTGACTCTCTAAAGTACTATAATCAGATCATTTTAACAGATTTGAGAACAAAGGTACTATATAAGCAACTTTCTAACTTTTCAGTCTACCCTCTGAACCGAGGATCGACAGTTCAAAATGCTGTTTGGGGAAGTTTCTCTGGTAGCTGACTGAAAATGTAGGAAAAGCTCCAAGATAGGAAGACTGTATTAGTGAAACCAGCAGTAGGGACCAAGCATGAATTACAGCCGTTATAGTGGGAATAGAGAAGAAAGGAATTTTTTTTTTTTGGCACATCAAAGGGATTCTAAACAAAGCTCAGCGCTTGGTAACTTGCTGGATGTTGGATGACTAAATTTCTCATTGGGGAATAGCAAGAATCCTAGAGAAATAGTTTTTCTCTAATTTCTAGTTCAACTTTTTAGACGCATGGTCTAAATCTTCAGGTTTGCTAGTTTCCCAAAGCACGCACTAAGGTAGTATTAAAACAAACAGCAGTGAAGAGCCAGTTCCAAAAGCCACAGAAAAGGGTAGAATAAGAAAAGTGTGGATGATGCAGAAAAGCCCGGTATAGGAGCGCGCACATCTTTTAGGTTGGTGGACTCTAAAGAGGGAAAGGCAGGACTTGGTCGAGAACTGCAACTCCCACAAGGCATTGGGCAGAACACCGGACTTCCGTTCACATCTCACTTCCGGCCTGTGGGTTGCTGACGTTCTTTTCCGGTCGTGGTAGCTCTCTGTAAGCAATGGGGATACTCATGGTGAGTCCGACATGCAGCAGGCACGAGTGGGTGAGGTGCGAAGCTTGTGTTCGCTTGTCACTCAGCCGCCGGAGGTAGCGCAGGAAGAGCGGAGGGCTCGCCGGCGGGTGAAAAGTAACCTTGACAAGAGGAGGAGGGCAGAGTGGAGTGAGACCCCGAGGACTCAGAAAGGGGTTTAGGGGACCAAGCTGAAAGAGACCCAGGAGTTGGAATGATGGGTGGGAAGAAGGGTTGTGAGAAGACCTCGCAGGCGAGCAGTGGGACTCTGGAATTGTTGACAGAGGAGGAGAGGGGCAGCGGGAAGGCTGCAGCAATGAGGACCGTGGGAGGCACAGAGAGAGACTGCCGCGGATCCGAGATCGGCATCGCCAGAAGCGATATCGAAACTTCCAGACATGAGAGCCATACCTCAGCTCCGAGATGGGCATCACCGGAAAGCACCCCCCCCCTTTGCCACTCAGTGTTCTTTAAATGGGTCACCAGTTGATGAGCGTTCGGGGATCCTGACAGAAAAAGGGCCGTGGGTATTGCTGGGTGCCTGGGCCAGTCTTCAGGCTTAGGGTGGAGATGGTAGGAGAAACTAGAGAAGTTAGCGCCAGTGGTTTTTGCACTGCTTGTAGCAAGGGCAGGTGCTCTGATATGATCAAAAGGTGATAGACTTACAAGAAGGCTGACAGGAAAACTTGGGTGACTTTTACTTTCTTGGGTTTACTGCTCATTTTGCTCTGTTCTCCGAAGATGAGGCTGCTGGCATTTGTGACGTTAGTTCTATTAGCTGTCACTCGAGCAGAGGAAGGAGCCAGGCTTTTGGCTTCCAAATCGCTGTTGAACAGATATGCTGTGGAAGGGCGGGACCTGACCTTACAGTACAACATCTACAATGTTGGCTCAAGGTAAGGATGCCCTGGGATTACAGACGGATTCTTAGTTCTCAGATGGGTATAGGAGACATCCTGTTATTGGTGATTACTCTTCGGGAGACCAGTAGCATTAGATATCATGAATGTGTGAATGTACTACTGGGCCTCCTTTTAGACATGGAGAACTTACCTAAGCTATAAGAAACCCTTTTTGGGATTGGAGGAGTTTCAGAATAGAGAAGCAAGAATTGTGAAATAAGGAGGAGACCACTGTTCGTTACGTCGTGGATTCAAGTTTCAGCTTCCTTTTCTCATTAGCCTATGAGCATTTTTGTTGTCATTTATTCCTTTTCAATTGTTGTTCCTTATTTACCTTCTCTTTCCCCTTCCTATATGAATATGCATGTTACATGTGTAAACACACAGACAGATTGAAGCAAAATGGATTTGGGCCTGTTCTCTTCTAGATTTTCAAGTATTTTGGTATTTTTGAGTAATAGAGTTCAGTTCTTGACCTGGATTCTTCAGTACAATAGGTCCACATTACTATGTGACTCTGTTTTAAGTTATTAGGACAAGCAAGCAGATTTGATTGTTGATCATGTACAAAGTCTCTGTATCCTCTATTTTCTAGTGCTGCATTGGATGTGGAATTATCTGATGATTCCTTTCCCCCAGAGGACTTTGGCATTGTCTCTGGTATGCTGAATGTCAAATGGGACCGTATTGCACCGTATCCTCTTGGCTCTGTTTTAACAAGGACTGGAGAGGAGGAAGGAACATTGCCAGCAAAGCAAGAGGGGGACATCAGGCAGGCTGAGCGTGCATGGCTATTCTGTCATTCCTCCATATAAACTGAGGCAAGAGGGTCCATTGTGTATGTGTGAGCAATATTTATAGCAGATCTGAAGAAGGTTCATAAAGTTCAGTATAAGGCCTTTGAACATATTTGAAAGTATACACTTTAGAGATCTATAAAGGTGTTCATAGCTTAGTGGTACACCACTTGCTTAGCGTGCACAAGCCCATGGGATCAATCCCTAATACTGGGGGGAGAAAAGATGTTTGTGGCCAGGCATGGATTTTTTGTTTGTTTGTTTGTTTTTTGTCTTTTTGAGTCAGGATCTCACTATGCAGTTCAGGCTGGCCTTGTGCTCACTCACTGTGTAGCCCAGGCTGGTCTCGAACTTGCATCAGTCCTCCTGCCCCAGCCTCCCAAGTACTGTGATTACAGTAGTGCATCACCACACCCAGTTTAGGCATGGATGTTTAAAAGTATTTTTGTTGTGTATTTGTGGAAGTGCTGGAGATGGAACCCTCCTTTATGGCCTTTTATGTATGCTAGGCAACCACTCCACCACTAAGCTTTTAGAAAAAATGAAGTGAAAACCAGGTATGGATGGTACATACTTGTAATGCTAGTTAAGGCAGGAGAATCTCAAGTTTGAGCCTAGCCTGGACAGTTTACCAGCTTAGCAAGACCTTGTCTTAAAATTAAAAAATAGAAAAAAAAAAAAAAAAGTTAGGTGGAATGCTAGCATAACAGACCTGGATGACTTTAAAAGTCTCTTATTCAGTGAGTCTTCTTCTAATCTATTATTTCAGAAATAGTGAATTAGATAGTTGATGCTTTTTCTCGTGAATTAAAATGTATTTACTTGATTGTGGTCGTGCATGCCTATATTCCCAGTGCTTGGGAGGCTGAGGCAGGAGGATTACAAGTTTGATGCCAGTTTGGACTACATACAAAACCATGTGGGCTCCCCCTCTCAATACAGTAGAAAGATGTTACGTTACATGACACACTTTGGATTTTTCTGGTTTTGGTACTGGGGATCCAACTCACAACCTCGTGTTGCCAGGCAGGTGCTTTTACCACTGAGCTAAATCCCTGGCCCCACTTTGGATTTTTTTTCCCCCCACTTTGGATTTTTTTAAAGTCTATTTTGTTCATTCTTGTAGCATATTGTGGGCATGAGGTCACCGCATATGTTGGCAGCTGTTTTGGGAACAGTAAATTTGGTCTACAAGATGAAAGATTGTTAGCACTGTATCTTCATTTATTTTCTTTCCCTTAACTCTTGGGCCAGTGCTAGCAATGTCTCCCACACTGTGGTCCTGCGACCTCTCAAGGCTGGTTACTTCAACTTCACCTCGGCAACTATCACCTATTTGGCCCAAGAGGATGGGCCTGTTGTGGTAAGTCACTAAGTCCTGAGCTGGACAGGGTTCAGCTGTGCCTTCCCTTAAACACTTGGAGAAAGCGGCTGCAGATGCCACTGAATTCAGTAGGTAATAAGATTGGCCAGAAGATCGGCATCTGTGTGCTTCAAAGTGGAAGGGATGGAACGGGCCTGTAAATCTCCTCTTCCCCCTGCTTTCCTTACAGACTGGAGTGTGTCAACTGCTGCCTGGTTCATTGGTGCCTTTGCCCTTTAGTCATTTTTTCTAAGGCATTGCCAGATTATTCCACTACTCCTGTTTCTCTTTCCTGAATGGTCTGTTCTTTTTTTTTTAATCAGTACCGGGGATTGAACTCACAACCACCTGCTTGCAAAGGAGGTGCTTATGCCTCTGAGCTAAATCCCCAGCCCCGAATGGTCCATTCTTGTCCTCAAGGCTAAGCTGCTCTGCCTCTCATACTCACCCTCTGACTGCCCAGCTGTCCTTGGCCTCTCAGCATCCTCTCCTGTTCCACTGTATAGACCCAGGCCTGCTAGATCAACGTCTTGCCTGCACCCACCCCTTCCTCAGCACCTGCCCTTTTCTTTTCACCTTTTCTCTTCACCTTTGTCCTCTGAAGCTCTCTCTCCTCTATCTCATTATCTGGAGCCTTCTTGAGAACCACCTCGGAGCAGTGTCTTTTGTCTCTTACACGGCTTATAGCAGTCTCCTACTCACTCTTTCCATAAGGATCATTGACTGCACCTAAACTTTTGGCAGCATTTAGTCTATTACTTCAGTGGGGATTTTTTTCTTCTCTTCTTTTCTTTTTGAGACAGGGTCTCATTGTATACAGTCCAGGCTGGCCTTGAGCTCACAGCAGTCCTCTTCTTCCTCTCCCTTCCCATTTAATTATAAAGTGCTTGAGGCCAGAAACTTTGTTTCTCATATTTAATGGAAATAGTATTTTGATTGATTGATTGATGACATTAATTATAGAGCCCTTGAAACTATAGGAAATACCAACAAGATGAGACACTATCCAGCCTTCAAAAGTTTAGATCATGAAGCTGGGCAGGGTGGCTCATGCCTTAATCCCAGTTGCTTAGGAGGCCGAGGTAGGATTGCAAGTTTGAGACCAACTGGACAATTTAGCAAGATCCTATTTTTATTTTTATTTGTTTGGGGTTTTTTTTGAGACATGGTCTCACTATACAGTTCAGGCTGGCCTTGAGCTCCCTTTGTGACCCAGGCTGATCTCAAACTCACAATGATCCTCCTGCCTCAGCCTCCCAAGCGCTGGGATTACAGGCATGTGCCGCCACGCTCAGCTAAGATCCTATTTTAAAATAGAATTTAGAAAAAAATAATAATAAAATAAAAATAAAATAGTACTTAGCCAGGGATTTAGCTCAGTGACATAAGTGCCAGCCTGGCAAGCACAAAGTCAGGAGTTTGGTCCCTGGTACCAAAAACAAAAAATAAATAAAATAAAATAAAACTTAACAAAAGACTAGGAATGTAGCTCAGTCATAGTGTGCTTGCCGAGTATGTGCAAGAATCAATCACCAGTACTGCAGGAAAGAAAAAGCTTAGGTTGTACATTTATGATGCTAAAATGTATAGGCCGCTGACAGGACCATACACAGACTCTGTAGGATTAGTGAGTTCACAGCAGAAAAGTGACTTGACAGACATTTACAGAACTCAAATCTAAAATGGTAGCCAGGTGTGGTAGCATGTGCCTGTAACCTCAGCACTCAGATTCGGAGGCAGTGCTTGGGAAAAAAATATTAGGACCCGGGAGGCCTGAGAAAAACCATTTCTTAAAGCATTTAAGAAATATTTACAGTCTATCCTTGGTTTTGACTGACAGCTTTGTTTTGCCATATTTGACTTTATTCTCTCCCCAAAAAAAAAGTAATAAGAACTAAGGAGTAATAAAACCCAAAATGTGTAAATTTTGTTGCAAAAAAGAGAAGGAAAAAAAGTGCTCTAAAAGATACAACAGCAAGTGTGTTTAGGGGTGTTAAATAGCTGACCATATTAATGTTTTTGGTTGGATCATTGAACACAACTGTTTGCAGTCTCACTGTTTGAATGTCCACTTTGTATGCTTTGATACTGTGACTTGAGCAACTATCTCTAAGATGATAATATGTAATCTATTAACTGGTGATTTCTTACTTTTTTTTTTTTTTTTTGTAGTTCTGTATTACTTGTACCCTTACACCGCTTTGTTTTGTTTTGTTTTTTCTCTTTTTCCTTTTAAATAAAATTTAAAAAAAAAATGTTTACAGGGCCTGGAGGTTTAGCTCAGCGGCATAAGCTCCTGCCTTGCAAGCAGGCAGTCTTGAGTTCGATCCCCGGTACTGATAAAAAAGGAAAAAGAAAAAAAAAAGAAATATTTACAGGGCAGGGGATATAGCTCAGGGGCAGAGCACTTCTCTAGCAAGTATTCAGGTCCTGAGGCAGCAGGATCTTGAGTTTCAGGCCAGCCTGAGTTACATGGTATGACTCTGTCTCTAAAAATCAAAAAATTAAAATTCTTTAATACTCAGTGCACTTTCTAAAATTCATTTTTTATAAACCTGGAATGTATAATCCTAGCTATGTTTTCACATCTGGGTCAGTTCTGCTTTCCGAACCAGCCTCAAAGCTGTTTCTGCCTGGGGCTGTATGGGTTAATAGATGTAAAACCTAAGAATCAGCAGCCACCTTGGAACACAGTTGTTTGCAATGTGCTCCAGATACCTGGTTGCCTCTCAGAGCGCAGGAATGTGGCCTGGACTCAGCCCCTTCTCAGTGCTGTACATTTGGGTGGGACGTTACACTTCCCGAAGGCCCCTCATTATTTCTTTGTGTTTCGTATCAGCCTGTGAAGTAAGAGAAGTGTTTTCACTTGAGAAGTAAGTATATGATTGCACAAGGCTGGTCATTGCTGTATACACATGGGCCCGTGGAAGGACTGGGCGAGGGGGAGGGTAAGCAGTGTTACTCTGTCTACTGAGGCTATGACAGGAGGACTGAGCCCTAACCTCAGTTGCACAGTTGGCTGCCTTTAATACATTTTTTTTTTTTTTTTGTATTGGGAATTGAACTCAGGACCTCGTGCTTGCCAGGCACCTCACAGCTACTAGGCAAACACTGGACTACAAGCCATGCCCTTGGCCCTTAAGCACTATGGCTCTTTGGGAACTAAGAATTTGGTGATTAGAATTGGGCAGCTCGGAATACCTGGCCCCAGTTGAGGCAAGCTGCGAGCTTAACCTAATGTCCCTTTCTTGCTTTCAGATTGGCTCTACCAGTGCACCTGGACAAGGAGGAATCCTGGCTCAGCGGGAGTTTGATAGGAGATTCTCCCCTCACTTTGTAAGCTTTCTGGTGTCCTCTTTGCATTTCCCTGATGTGTGAACACCCCATAGGTTCTGGAACCTCTTGGCCTCTGTAGATGATTTGTTGGGTGGTCTTCCCCTAGCTGGTTTTTCTTGGTGTCTGATACAGTCAACCATCAAATATCCCAATTAAACCATGCCCAGTGATTTTGTCAATGAGATCATCATGGCAAGAGCTATAGAATTGGCTTTTTCTTAGCCTTGAGTTCATCCCTGTTTTAGAGTTTGAGATTTAAAATCTGATTAACTTCAAAGGGTCTTAGAGCATTGGGAAAGCAAAGTGGGAAGTTCATTGTGGTTTATTGTAAGAGAGAACTTTGTGAAGACTGGACCAAAAACCTGAGTGAAGGCGGTCATGTATGCATTCACTTTCTAAGTATGTACTCATTCTGAACATTGCGTCAGGAAATCAGTCCCTTCCATTAAGATTGCGTAGACTCGGGGCTGGGGATTTAGCTCAGCGGCATAAGCGCTGCCTTGCAAGCAGGCAGTCATGAATTCAATCCCCGGTACCGATAAAAAGGAAAAAGACAAAAAAAAAAAAAAAAAAAAAGATTGCGTAGACTCAGAAGACACAACACATAAATGGGGAGCTGGACAAGGTGGTACGTTCCTGTAATTCTAGTACTCTAGAAGGCTGAGACAAGATTGCAAATTTGAGCCTAGTCTGGGTAACTTAGCAATTTAGTGAGATTCTGCTTCAAAATAAAAAAATGTTGGGGATATAGCTCAGTGTGGAGGCCCTGGGTTTCTTTCTTTCTTTCTTTCTTTTTTTGGCTTTTTGTGGTTTTTATCGGTACCAGGGATCGAACTCACGACTGCCTGCTTGCAAGGCAGGCGCTTATGCCGCTGAGCTAAACCCCCAGCCCCGAGGCCCTGGGTTTAATGCCTAGTACTAAAAACAAAAAACAGTAAATGGAGGAAAGTTGTGTGGACAGTGTTCAAGGGCATGTAGCAGGAAGTCTCCTCTGGCATTCTGTCCTCAAGGTTCAGAGAAGGTTTAACCAGTCAGGACAGGAGAGCATCATCCTAGGAAGATGCCCCTCAGACATGAGAAAGCATGGTGTGATCCAGGAGTGACAAGTTGTTTCTGGAAGGCGGCAGGGAGGTGGAGGATTAGAGGCAAGGGCCCATGGCATAAGCCTGAGGGGCAGCCCAGGGGAGGCCTGACGGGCAGGACCTGGCCATCTCTCTTTTGTAACACTGTATGGAAGCCAGATTGGGCTGGGTTAGGCAAGGCCCCGCCTTCACAGCCTGAAAGGCCAGTTGATCCTTTAGAGCCATTCTGTATCATAGTCAGAGAGGAGCTTTCCTGGCCAGTGTTCTGCTTTAAGTTGGGCTAGACTGCTCCCTTGCTTACTGACCCTATTCCTTCCCTGTCTTCTCCTGTACCCTCATTCTTGGTTTTCCTTCACAGCTGGACTGGGCAGCCTTCGGAGTCATGACCCTTCCCTCTATCGGCATCCCCCTGCTCTTGTGGTACTCCAGCAAGAGGAAATACGACACGCCCAAAACCAAGAAGAACTGAGCTGGGCTCTTACCCACCTCTCTCAAGAAACCAGGTGCTTTCCAGACTCCAGAGGGTCTCTCAAATGTATTCTCTTCGTCTTGGCCACCTTCTCCTGGATCCTGCTCTCAGCCAGAGTATAAAGGACTAGACCTGGGAACCTGGGAGCCTTCTTGGTTCCACACCCTGAAGCCATAAAAACAGGGATGCCTTGGGCCACAGCCTGCAGGGTCTCTGCCTCTGGGGCCCCGCTGAGGTGCTGTGGGTGTATTGCTGGCCATGGCGGTCCAAGAGGGGCCTATGGAGGTTGCCAGAGTCCTCCTCATCCCCATCCCTCCCTACCCCCAGTCAGAAAGCTGTGGGACTCTTAGAGGCCATCCAGTCTCTGTTCTAGGTAAGGAAGCACTTACCAAATGGGGTTTTCTAATAAAAACAAATATCACTTGGACTTACCTGTTTTCCTGTGTGTTGGTGAGCAGAGGTGGTTGCTGGAGCTCAGGTCTGAGCACCCTGGCTCCTGCACAAGCAAGCCAAGTTCTTGCCACAGGACTGGTTCTGTCCCTTCTGAACTTGTGCTGCTGTCTGTCCCTTCCTTTCCTGAGTGTTTGCCATGACGGTCATAATATGTCCCTGAACCTTCCGTGCCCACCTGTTCTCCACAGCTTAAAAGGTGGTCCTTAGCCCCTCCTGTGTCCCAAGTCCCTCTGATCCATTCACGACTCTTGTGGAGCATGTGCTTCTCCCTGATTCCAGCCCCTTTCCTGTTTTGGAACTAGCTGTGCCTGAGCTTGAATGTGTTTATTTTTGATGCCCAGTGCAGGAAGAAATGCTGGATTCCCTGGCCTGGGGCCTAGCATGGAAAGGCAGCGGGGAGAAGCCAGTGTAAGCTGACTCTGTCCATCCCAGGAATGCCGTGGTCTGAGAATGGCCTCCCAGGCAGGAGGGAAACCCAACAAATGCCAGCTTTGTTCCCCTGCCCAACCGGTTTAACCTTTCTTTTGCCCAGCAGTGGGAGCCTCTGGGCCCCAGAAGATGAAAAGGACATGGAGACAGCGGGAGGCTCCAAATGGAGTTGCCTTCTGCCAGCTCACCACCCGGTTTCAGGGGCTGCACGTTGGACACCCCAGGACGGGCCAGGTCAGAGGGCAGGAAAGAGATTTGATTGTGTTCATTGTGATCCAGTGGAAATGCGGAAATGCTCAGGAGAATGGGGCGAATAGGGCAGTGAGTCAGAGGTGTGGCTACATCAGTACTTACTAGCTTGCTCTCTAGGATTCAGAAATGTGTTTCTGGAGGAGGGAACACTTTTCATCTGTGGAGTTGCCACTGGAAATAAAAATGAGTTAACCTGGAGGAGGAGGAGGTCTGATACGGAACGTGGGATGTATTTCAACTGGAAGGTAGTGAGATTTCTTCCCTGGTTTAAACTTGGAGACACTCCTCTCCCAGAAGCTCAGCAAGGCTTGGCTAAACCTTGCCTTGCAGAACTCATTACTTTGTGTCCGGTGCTTGTTACAGGAAGGGAGACTAGGAGGGGAATTCAGGAGCCCACAGATGACAAGAGAAGCATTGTGAAGGCTGTTCTGTCTCAGGCACCTTGAAAAGATGCCAAAACCAGATACTTCATCTCTCAAGAGATCAGCTTCCTTAGAGTCCAGGTGGAATTTGAACCCCTCTTAAGTGGTGGTGGTGGAGAATATAAGAGCTTCTAAACTCTGTAGACACAGAGACTTAGAGTAATTGGTGCTGGGACTGAGCTCTCTTACCTTCTTGGCAGAGGTAGTCTGATAGAATGAGTGGCAGCCTGCTCTCTGGTCTTAACTGAAAATCAGCCTCTGGAGGCCTGAACTTGACCTTCAGGTTGAATGCATCTCTGTCAGGGGAAAGGGCAAGTAGGTATTGACCCCACCTTTTTCCTGGAGATTGAATGCCCAAACAGAAGCTCCTCCCCAAAAGGCAATACAGATACCGACTCAGCCACCAGATCTTGCTGGTTGCCAATGGTTGCCAGCTGGCCTATGGAGACTTCCCACATTGCGCAGACTTTCAGCTGGCATCTGATCATCGCACATCCAGCCCTAGAGCAGGTGCCTTGAATTCTGCCCCTTCAAATTCTACTGGAAGAAAGTGAACAGAAGCAGGTGTGACAGTTTCCACCCAGCTGCCCACTTTGGCATTCATTCACCTGTGAATGCAGGTGACTACTTCTCTGTGGGGTGCCTGTTTCATCCTCTGAACAACCCCAAGATAGAGAATTTGTTTCTTTTTTTTCTTTTTGGTACCAAGGATCAAACTTATAACCTTGCAGTTGCTAGTGGTTTTTTTTTTTTTTTGACTTTTGAGACAAGGTCTCACTGTATAGTTCAGGCCGATCTTGAGCTCACTTTTGTAGCCCAGGCTGGCCTTGAACAATCCTCCAGCCTTAGCCTCCTGAGTGTTGGATTACAAACATGCACCACCATACGCGGCTTCCCTTTTTTTTAAAAGACATGTTCAGGCTAACCTTGAACTCACTGTGTAGCTCAGGATGGCCTTTAACTCTTAGTGATCCTTGTGCCTCAGGCTCTCAGGTGCTGGGATTATAGGCTTGTGCCACCACGCCTGGCCTACACTATATTATGTGGTGAGAAACAAGTACCACTTTCTCGTGCAGTTTGGACCCACTAGAGCTGTCTTTTTCCTCTCACCCAAAGTAAAAATTGATGATAAAGCACCTAACTAAGTCCTCTGTCTAGCAGGTCAGGAACAGTGAGGTAAAGGCCTATCCAGGGCACAGGTAGGTGACAGCCAGCACAGATACTGATTACTATCGACCTGGCATTTGTTCCATTACAGTATTTGTGCATTCCTAGCTAAACATCCATCCCCTTTTACACTAGGGAGTGAAGTTCACAGGTTTACTATGAGCTCCCCTAATCAGGGAGTTAGCAGAGCCAGCAAAGTCCCTCAGCTCTAGAGAGCCTTTTTCCTAGATGCCAGAGCCCACAAAGGGTCCCTGCCCATCACCTCAGGAAGCCCAGGGTCTTCCCCTCTGTGCCCTGCCCTGGGGAAGAAGTGAGGTGAGTCAGCCACACACTCCCCTCAAGCTGTTACCAGGGATAGATAGGGTGGAGGAGCTGCTCAAACATCCTGCCGCCGCCTAGTATCCACAACAAGACATACCGTGAGTCCTGTGTGTGCCTAGTCGCTTAGCCACCCTGTTTCCTGTTGGCTAAAGCTAGTGCCCTCCTCATAAGGAGCTGCCCTTGTAATTGCTCCTCCCTGTACTTTCACACAAAAAACAGTATTTCCTTCTCCACTGCTGTAACCTGCCTCTTAAAGGGACCACCCAGCAGTTTTGAACCCAAATTTGAGAGAAGGTAAAGGACCCTGCCAAACTCACTAGCAGTTGGCTGTTCAGCAGGCTGTTAGGGATGGCTCCTGTCCTAAGATGCCCTCTTTCTTCCATCCCTGGTTTCTCCTTGCCCCTGTTGATAGGAGAGTGAAAGTCCCTTGGGGGAGGAGGTCAAGCGCCCACATTAACTCCCCATGGGGACTCCAGCTGAGCTTCCTGTACGTGTTTCTATTAGAAACCTGAATCCTATGGCCACGCTTTGTCCAGGAAGGCCAAGGACAGGGCAGTGGTATGGAAGGGGTTAAAGGCCTGAGCATGGCAGTCTAGGGTGTTTGAAGTAGGGCGGGGAAGGGCAGGGCTGAGTGGTTGGAGAGGCAGCTGGTCTGTGCTGGAGTGAGTCCTTCTGTCTCCTATGCACTCTTGTGGACCATAAGCAGCTCCCTTAGATGGACTGAGAGAGAAAGGAAGCCCTAGTGCAGTGCTGGACTGGATTCTTAAAGGGACTACCTGAAGCAGAAGTTTTCCGCTATTGAGGTCGCCAACTGGGGACAGGGACGGTTGCCCCTGTTTGGGATATCTCCTAGGTCTGGTGAGTGTCCTCCGTCTCTTTCCCAGGTCCTCACCTGCTGAACCAGGTGAAGCATTTCCCCCAGAAACAGAGACAGCCAGGAACTTTGGAACACCTGAGGACATGGCAGAACAATTCATAGCTTCTCCCATCAACCTCCTGTGCTTGCTTACCGTTTTTTAATTAGTGACTATGTGTGTGCGTGTGCGCGCATGTGTGTGTGCGTGTGTGTGTGTGTGTGTGTGTGTGTATGTGTGTGTATGCGTGCGCTCCTGCATGAGTGCATGAGTGTACATGCGAAAGGTGGAATAGAGAAATAGAGAATCACAATTATGGCAAATGATTAATCAACACAATATGTGCAACAAATGGTGGCAAATCCTTTATAGGTATGCTTTTTTAAAAATCCTTATAGTCCTATCATGTTGACATTCCTAACCTTTGTATTAAATGTAAAGTAGGAAAAGCTGACAGAACTAATTCATGCCAATTAAGAGGTAAGTTGTAGGACTGGGGTTTAGACTCAAGTTCATCAGACACCAAAATTCATTATGTCGACTTTTGGTCTTTTTCTTCCCCCAAGAAGTGTGACACCAAGAATGGCTCTGAAATCTTGAAACCTTGAGAGTCTAACTCACCCAGAGTCTAACTAACCCTAACCCTCCCTCTCTTGTGCCTAACATTGTTCCTTTTATCCCAGGGAGCTGATTATGGAATGTAAAGGACCATGAACTCATACCGGAGAGCCAGGGACTGCCACATGCTGGGCTCCCCACCACCCTCATCACATGAGGGATTCCCTGCTGTGCCCACTACTTCTAGCCATTTCCTGGGATCTGCTGGGTTAATTCCCTGGATCACACTGGCCAAAGTCTTCTCAGGTGTGTCCCTTTGAACCTCAGTCCCTCTCTTGCCCCACCCTGCTGGCACAGCACCCAGAGTACATGCCAAGAAACTGGCAGGAGACAGAAATGGACAGGGCAGTCTGTCTCCTTCTCTGTCCCCTACATTTCACAGACTAGCCTGCTCGCAAGGCTCCGATGGAATAAGCGTCCAGCTTTGGACCAGACCAAGGAGAAAGAGGGCAGGTGCCTAAATTCACTTTGTAAATGAATTTAAAAAACAACAAAGCCATAATCCCAGCACTTAGGGCTAAAGCAGGAGAATAGAAAGTTCAAGTCCCACCTGGACAACTTAGTGAGACTTTGTCTCAATATAAAAAATATTTCTTATTTTTTTGGTACGGGGGATCAAACTTAAAACTTTGTGCTTGTCAGGCAGGTGCTTATATTGCTGAGCTAAATCCTCAGCCCTCAATATAAAAAATAAAAAGGATTGGTGATATAGCTTAGGGGTAGAGTGCTCAAAAAAATTCTTTTGGTGCATTACTATCTTTGGAATATATTAGACTCACAATCAATGGAATTTTTAATTTCCAAGACTAGAAATTAAACCCAAGTGGTCTCTATCACTAAGCTACACCCCACCAGCATTTTTATTTTTGCTAGGACTACAGGCATGCACCATTTTACCTGGCTTAAGCGGATGTTTGAAGTGTCGGTTTGCTAACTTAGTAGAGGGAGTATGATTTGATTAGGAGCCAGGGATGCTTAATTGTCTTTCCTTTTTAGGAAGAGGGGTACCAGGGATCAAACCTCATACTTTTGTCTTTCTATCTTTGAGCTTCCAGAATTAACTAATAATAAAGTTGGTACTTCTGGCCTATGGGTCCAGGATGCATGTGGGGAGCTGATGTGGGCAGATAGCTTTTGCTCATCCTACCCCACCTACTCCCTCGTATTTGTGTGTAAACCCTTCTGGATCCTCTTCTTTGTGTGTGACCCTTGGTTGGTTTAAAGTAGCATTGGATGTGTCTGAATCCTCTACGTCTTTTACCTTTGCTCTTGTTTTGGGGGATTGTGCTACTCACTGGCATTTAACAAGGAAGAGAAAGAACAGTTCCAGGGTTAACTTCAAGGTTAGGTACCAGTGTTCGGCAAGGCAGCCTGATGAATGGATACACTGGGGTGGTAGGCACATGGTAGGAAGGCTCTGATCTTACTGGTGACTTCTTCACCAGAAGTTAAAGCACCTGTGCTTGATCCCTCTCTGCAGGGCTCTATGGGATGAATGCTTTTCTTTGTGTAGGAAAAGAAAGAGTAGGTTAAATTTGTAGCCATTAAAGGTTCTGTCTTCATAGGGCTGGGAGAATGGAGGATAAGGCAGCAGGCCATGTCCTCTGGCCTCTCCCTTCCTTCCCAGTCTTTATTATCTGCTGCTTTTGAGTCTTTTCCATTACTGGCTCCCTTGGGTGATTTAGGCCCCCACAGCTAGATGCAGAAAGCCTCCTAGACTTTGAAAACACCAGCAAACAGCTGGGCATGGTGGTGCACACCTGTAATCCCAGCACTCAAGAGGCAAAGGAAGGAGATTGCTGCAAGTTCAAGGCCAGCCCGGGCTACTTGTGAGGCCCTGTCTCAAAGGAAAAAAAAAAAAAAAAAAAAGAAAGAAAGAAAGGGCTAACAAGCCTGGCCCCATCCCTCCATGCCTAGGTGAGGTGATTGGTTGCAATCAGCAGAGACTATACCAGTGTTTGCAAGCAGTAAGCATAACCAGGGGTCTGGCTGCCTCCTCACTTCATTACGATTTCTAAGACAACAGAGGGAATAGAAAGGCCAAATTTAATTTCTTTGAAACCCCACATAATTTCTTTTGGAAGCTGCTTTTTGTGTCTTTGACTGGGGTCACAGGAGTGGGATATGGGGTGAATGTCAATACTGCTGGATTTCTTTTCAAGTTTAGCTTCTTACTCTCTTTGGGAGCCTGCTCTCTGGTTTCCAAAAACCAGACTCCCTAGTGTGACAGAGCGACTTCAAAAACTCATCTCCTCCTCCTCCAGACCACAATGTAACCTTGAGCAGGCTACTAAAACTACTGGCACTACCCATGTTTTCATGTGTAAGATGGGGAGAAAAATGTTTGTTTCAAGAAATGCTTATGACATAGTGAGACCCTGTCTTAAAAAAAAAAAAGAAAAGAAAAGAAAAAAAGAGCTTTGATGAAAGCACAGCCAACAGGAGCCAACAGTGGCTCCTCATGGGTTCCTCCATTTCCCATGTGGGTTCAGGCTGATATTTAGGAAATGACAGTGTCCCTCCTCTCCTCTCCCAGACTGTTACAGAGGGCCTTGCTGGTGTACAGGGAGCTCCAGTCTCTCTCTCTCTCTGACTTCTTTCCTGCTCCTTCCTGAGATTCTCTTTTTTTTTTTTTTTTTTTTGTCTTTTTCATTTCATTTTTATCGGTACCAGGGATCGAACTCACAACCGCCTGCTTGTAAGGCAGGTGCTTATGCCGCTGAGCTAAATCCCCAGCCCCTCCTTCCTGAGATTTTGAAGCCAGGAATCTGTACATTTTTTTTATGAAAAGCCCCAGAAAACCATATTTCAGGTTTTGCAGGGTATACTACCAGTCATGGACTATGTGTAAATGAATCTGCTTGGTTATATTCCACAAGAAAGTTTATTTATGGATACTGAAGTTTGAATTTCATATAATTTTTATGTGTCTCAGGTATTTATCTTTTCTTCTCAACTCTTTAGCAAAGACAGTAGAAAGGATTACGTTGACGGAGTTGCTAACTGTAAATTACCTGCAGCTTCTTACTCCCCCCTTGTCTTTGAAGCGCATAGTTTTGTAGGGTTCCTTAGGGTCTCCAAGAATAGAAAAACTACTGCTTATTATTATTCTTGCTCCAGTTGTACACATACATTTTTATCAGAAGTTGTGATAATGAGTCCCCACTAGCACTGTGTCAGTGTCAGTCTGTGGCTCACTCTATATTTCTCTCTCTCCATAAGAGCAACAGTAATAGTAGCATGTTTCTGTTTGTTTCACTTTGTTTTGTTTTGTTCGAGACAGTCTCACTCTGTGAATCGGGCTGGCCTTGAACTCGTTTATGTAGCCCAGGCTGACCTTGAACTTGTGGCAGTCTTCTTGTCTCAGCCTCCCAAGTGCTGTGCCACCATGCCCTGCAACAGTAACATATTATTAATAGCACAATATTAGTTTTATTCATTGCATTATGCATATTATCATCAAGTCTCTCAACATCTTTACAAAGTAGGTATTGTTAATATTTTGTAAATGATTCTAAAGTTCAAAAATTGAGCAAATTCCCAAGGCTGTGTGGTCTACGAAGGCTGCATAACCAACAAAGCTGATGGACTTCATAGCCAGTATTGTACCCTAAAGAAATTATGTAGCCAGGTGTGGTGGTGCACACCTGTAATCCCACCATTCTAATACGCTGAGGCAGGAGGATTGGAAATTTGAGCCAACTGGATAATTTAGTAAGATCCTTGTCTCAACATAA